TCTAAGACATCTCGAGAGCATTGCGGCGACGCCTCTCGATGATCACACCCGCCCCGGGGTCGCCCTTCTCTGGGCGCGCGAGCCGTGAAAGCCGAGCAGCGCGCGCATGCGCTGCCACTGCGGCCCAGTGGCCCACGCGCGTGCACATGGGAGGCAGCTGACCGGGAAGCCGCCTTGGCTCGAGGTCAAAGACGCAGGGCGCGCGGAATTTAAAGCCGTCATCGAGCGGCGCGACTGGCTCCGAGAGCATGATTGTCGCGCCGCTGGACGGGCTGCTGGGGTTGTCTGATGCGAATGTGCAAGGCTGCAAAGTGCGCGCTGCCTCCAAGGCGCGAACCGCCCATGGGCCCCGTCGCGGCCCGATGGTTGCCAGCGACGCCGCCAGTCAGGAGCGGCATTGGCTCCTGGACGCATGGACTCCTCGACGCGGCAACAACCATCATGCTCGTCGTCAAGCCGGCGCACCAGCTGCCGTTGTCTCTTGGTCATGGGCGCGGCGAGATAAGAAGCCGTCGACGCGCCTGCGGGGCGCCCGAGCGGGGGCCAGGAGAAATGGGCGACGGACTCGTTGACCCAGCGCCGCCGACGTCTCTCCCGACGCCATAGTGAAGGTGTTTGCGGCGACCGTGGCGCAGCTCCACTCTCGCGCCCACTGATGCGGTCAGGGGGCAAGTTGCCCCGCTGATGTGGATCTTGAAACCCCGGCCTCGAGGCAGGCGCAGAGCGAGGTCGGCAGGCCAACTGGAGAAAGAGCGCAGATCACCGAAGCAAGAATGGCTAGCGAAGTCGGAGTCGTCGGTAATGGTGATGAAGGCCTGACTCGCGAGCTGGACCCCCGTCGGTGTTTCTACAGGCTATCGGGCCCATCCAGAGACGATCGATCGCCCCCCCCACTATCCCCGCCGCCGCCCTGCCCTATCTTGTCGGTCCACTTGTCGGATTGTTGTCCCAGTCGCGATCCTTGCCAGCGCTGTTCTCGGCGGCGCCCCCGCCCCCTCTCTCGTTGGCGGCCGGGCCCGTCGCAGCCCGGCCCGCTCTGGGCCGAGGGTCATAGGGCCCCGCGATCAGCCAAGCCTCCAGGCCAGCCTCCAGGAGCCTGTCGCATTCAATGACTGCTGCGTCTCCTAGAACTGGCCGATCCGGGCGCCGAGGAGGTCGCGCTGCCACCTGCGCGGCGCGCGGAGGAACGCAAGCACCCCCCGGCAGCGCTCGCCGTCCTCGAGGCGCCCGCATGTGATCCTCTGCCTGCCGCAGAGTGTCGCTGCTCCACAACGCGTCTGCGGCTTCGCAGCCGAGCTCGGTGATGGCCGCGGCATCGACGTTGGCAAGCCGCCCCTGCGGTTCGCGATCGATGGCCCACCTGGGCGATGGGGGCCCTGCTGCCCGCCAGTCCCGGCCATTAGGTCCGCCTCTCCGAAGCTCGAGGCTGCGCCCCCGAAGAGAAGGTCGCCCGGGCCGGACGCGCCCTCCCGCGCCTTCTTGGGGCCGCCGGCCCTCCTCCAGCGCCTGCGGCGACGCGCGCTGGATGGCCCCACCTACGTCGCGGTCGCCCGCCTCGACGGGGGCCCCGGGGTCGTGGTCGCCCCCCCCCCCCCCCCCTGGGGCAGCGAGGCTGCCCTGCGCGCGCGGAAGAGGGCCGTCGGCCCGCCAGGGCAGACCCCGCCTCCAGGCGCTCAGCCATTGTCCTGGGCGGCGCCGCGGGCGGGCTCTGGAAGGAGGGTCTGCGAGGGGCAACGGCGGCAGGCGCCAGGGCGCTCGCTGAGGGCCCCGCCCGGAGGAGTAAACCTGGGGCGGCCGACGGCGGGGGGGGGAAGGGGGCGCGCAGACGCGAGGCCGCGGGCCCCCGTGCGTCTCTTCTCGACCTGCTCGATTCAGCTCGAGATGCCCTTCTATTGGCCGCCAGTGGCCCTTGGCAGGTCGTGTTTGGAGCTCCCCAAGACGCCCTGCAGATCGTCGTGCGACTCGTTGATGCGCCGCGGGTCTGCGGCTGCTGCAGGCCCCTGCCGCGCGGCCCGCGCGGCCGCCTGCCGCGGGAGGGGCGGCAGGCGCGGGCCTTGCGCGACCTGCGGAGGCGTCGCCCGTCATGGCGGGGGCGCCTGGCTGGCGGGGCCATGCGCCCCCAGCGCCCGCCAGGGGCCCCGTCCGCCCGTGACAAGCCCGCTCCTGCGCGGCAGCCTCGCGGGCCGCGTCGACCTCGTCGTCCCCCATGCCTTCGCCGTCGTGCTCGTCGGCGGCGAGGTACCTCTCCCCGTCGATCTGCCAGTCGACGGAGAGCTGGAAGCCGATGCGCACCAGGTCGCCACGGGGGACGGGGTCGGGGATCGAGACTGGTCGGAGCAGGATCCCGAGATTCCAATCGTCGGTCTGCGGGGCGGGATCGGCCAGCTCGAGCAGGTCCAGCTGCGCGGCCCCACCAGCTGAGTCGGAGAACTCGATCACCTCGTCCCTCGCGACCCTTTCGGTGAGTCGCGCCAGAAACGCCGGCGAGACCGCGCAGGCCACCTCGGCCGGCACCTCCTCGCCTGGGGCCGTTCTCAGAGTGCGGAGGCGAGCCAGCAGGCGTCCTAAGGGAGGCTGAGTTCAGGCACCCCGATGAGGAGCTCCTCAAGCTCGAGGTCGCCGAAGTCGCCCTGTGCCAGGGCGTCGATGGCGACGGGGCCACCGAGCCGCGCGAATTGGCGCCGACGACGCGGGCCTCGCACCTCGCCGACGCGCCTGCGGCGCGGCCCTGGCTACGGGCAGCTCGAGCTGCCGCGCTGCAGCGCCCCGCATGGCAACGTCTACATTGGGCCCTGGTTCAGTCGAAGACCTTGACAGTGCATGCGTGGTCCCGCAGCTCGTCGAAAAATTTGTCGATCGCCTCGCCCAACGAAGGGGCCCGACGCGGGCGAACCCGCCCGCGAGTGCACATGCCGTCTCCGAGCCTGGCGACGATCGCATGCCGCGCGACCGCGCCTCCTCTGCGCACCCCGATGACGTCTTCGTTTGAACCCAGGGCGGCCCAGATCGCGCAGCAGTGGCTGCGATCGGCGGCAAGGACGACCCGAACCACAGGCTCGGCACCTGCAGCCCCAATGGACGGCACGCGACGGGTGCTCTCTGGGATGACGACCCAGGGGGCCCCGCGCGGGTCCTCCGCCGCCTCTGGGGCGGCCTCCTCGCCGCAAGGAGTGGCCCCTGAGTTCGAATCCAAGGGTCAGCTCGTGGACCGCCCGCGCTCTGGTTGCGGGCCCTCCACGCATCAACCGCGGACACGCTCGGCGCGCGGCGCGGGGCGGGCCCGGCCCGAGAAAGCTGCAGTGCATAACCGCTGTGCCCAAATCCTCATCATTAGCATCCTCATCATCACCCTCATCATCATCACCCTCATCATCATCATCATCATCATCATCATCATCATCATCATCATCATCATCATCATCATCATCATCAGCATCATCATCATCATCATCATCAGCATCATCATCATCATCATCATCAGCATCATCATCATCATAATCATCATCAGCATCATCATCATCAGCATCATCATCATCATCATCATCATCATCTGCACCATCATCATCACCACCACACGCAGCATCATCATCGCCGTCGTCAGCATCATCACCACCACCACCCTCATCACCAGCAGCAGCAACATCAGCAGCATCAGCACCCTCACCCTCACCATCAGCATCCGTATGGTACCCTCCTTGTGCTCGTGATCCTGACGCTCCTCCTCTGGCAGACCTCCCCTTCTCGTCATATTGCTGCTGAGCTGCCTCATCTTGCTAGCGTTCGTGAACCATTGTGGGTCTTCTGGGCTCTTCCCCCTCCTCCGTCCACATATGCTGATCCTCCTCCCCAACCTTCCTCATGAGAGCCTACAGTTGTTCTGATCGGTCTCATCTTCTCGTCGCAATCCCCCATGTTTCCCTTTCGTCATCCCCCATGCACGTCCTCATCCGCCATTCCTCCTGCCCACCGTATCCTGCTCAATGCTCCCGTCCTCCAACACAATCGCTCCCATGCACCCTGTCTCCATCCTTCTTCACCCGCCTCTTCGTCAATTTCCTCACCCCTCCATCCTCCCCATACTTCTACTCCCCCGCGACCCTGCCAACCATCTCCGTCTCATTTGCCTCTCCCGTGGACTCCTCATCAGACTCCTCTTTCCAACCATCCTATTGCGATTTCCCCCGATATTCATATCACATCGCCCCTCGTCTCTATCTCTTCCTCGTCTACGCACCTACCCTCTTTCATCCTTCTGTTGCATCGTCAATGTCATACTTGTGATGCTGATCATTCCTCTCCCTCTCTTCCACGCCCTCCACACATCGATTGCCATCCGCCACATCTTCGTCTCCTCCTTCTCGCCATTCATCTTCACATGTCTTTCGCCTTCGACCTGTTTGTGTTCGTTCTCGTCTTCGGTCTCGTGAGCAAGCTCGGGGTCGACCGTGTGCCCGCCGTCCCTCCGCAGTCCCCCCTCTACAGTCCTACCCCCCTCCACACTTTTACCCTGTCTGTCCTCGGTGTCAGCCTCCTCCCCTTCCTCATCCTGCACCTCATCCATCCTCCACCTTCCCCTCTCCTGCTCCTCCTCGAGCGTGGCACAGGAGGTGCTATGCTTGAGGAGGAGAAGCCTCTCGGGGGAGCCAAGGGGGATCCCCTCCTCATCCTCCCCCTCCCCCATGTCCATTTCTCTCTCTATCTCTCTCTATCTCTCTCTCTCTCTATCTCTCTCTCTCTCTCTCTTTCTCTCTCCCCTCTCCCCCCGATCAATCCCGATCCTCCTTCCCATCGCTTCCTCGTCCTCCTCATCTGATCCTCCTCTGCCTCCCCGCCCTTTGTTCTCGCTCTCTCTCTCTCTCTCTCTCCCTCTCTCTCTCTCTTCCCCCTGTCTCTCTCTCTCTCTCTGCATAGCTGTGTACAACAACACCTCTCTCCCTCTCTCTCTCCCGAGGCCGCCCCAGGCTCTGCAAGGCGCGGAGCGCGCGCGAGGGAGCCCCCGCCTCGAGCGCGCCCTCGCTGTCCCAGCCGCTGCCGGGCCGCACCAGCCCTGATCGGAGCAGCCACGCAGCGGCCGCCGTCGTCACCGTCGCCGTCGGAGCCGCCGCCGTCGTCGCCGCTGTCCTCTGCGAATTCTCCGCGTCGCCTCTGCCGTCGTCGGCGTCGTCGCCACGTAACGCCATCGTGGCCGCTGTCGTCCACCTCCTCCTCCTCCTCCTCCTCCTCCTCCTCCTCCTCCTCCTCCTCCTCCTCCTCCGTCTCCTTCTCCTCTTCGTCGCCGCATCCGTCGTCGACGTCATCGTCATCACCGCCGCCGCCGCCGCCGCCGTCGTCGTCGTCGTCGTCGTCGTCGTCGTCGTCGCCGTCGTCGTCGTCGTCGTCGGCGTCGGCGTCCTCGTTGCCCACGGCGTCGGCTTCGGCGTCGACGCCGCTCGAACGAAGGCGGAGAGGAGGAAGAGGGGGGGGGGCAGCGGGACAAGCAGGGAGCGGAGGGGGGCGGGAGGAGGGACAACAGGAAGAGGGGCGGAAGGGCAGGAGCGGCGCCCGCCCGCTTTGGGCCCAAACGTCGCCCAGCGCAGCGCAAGAAGCCGTCGCAGAACCACTGGCATAGGCCAATCGCATTCGCACAACGCCTAGCGAACCACTGGTGAGCGCGAGCCAATCACGCGGGATGGGCGGGAGGGGAGGCAGTCCTGGCCCCTCGACGTGAAGATCAAGAGGCCCGTCTCGGATCCACGATCCAACTACTCCTCATAATGAGAACATGGTCCTGGGGAAGACATCGAGGAGCCCTGGAGGCCCCCGACACGAAACAGGTCGTGACGCTCGACGGAGTGGGAAAGGCGGAGTCTTTGGGGCCCTGCTTGCAAGGGGTGGACGCAAATACCAGGCGGCTCCGATCATGACATCCCTCATCATCCATACCTTCCGGCGCGACTTCTTCCCCTTCAGCGGTCTCCTGATACACCGTCCAGGAAGGTCTGCTTCGCCGCCAGGCTCGCCTGCAGCGGATTCGGCCGCATTGCCATCTGGGCGTCGTACACGTCCGCTGCCTCAGGCTAGCGCCCATTACCATCCCAGACCCGGAACGAAATCAGACGACGCACCGACTGCTCAGGATCTGCGACCCAGTCTCCCTATGGGATGACCTCTCACAAACCAGATCGCCTGGCCCACGACGGCTCACGATGCATGAATCCGTGCTCCCCAGACGCCTCAGTGACGCCCCGCGCCATCTTGGGCGACGTCGAGGCGCTCGGAGAGGCCCTCAAAAAAGCCCCAAGACGCCCACAAGACGGACCAAGGTGGCTCCCACGCGGTCTCAAGATGGACCAAAATCGCCCTATGGCGGCCACGAAACCAATCCCAAATGGCCCCAAAACGACAACCCGACCGACCCCCAACACAACCGGCCAACCAGGAACTCAAAGGCCCACGCCGGAGGCGCTCTCTCGGGTTTTGCTAGAGAAGTGCCCATGGCACAGAGTGATTTCCAGGCGGGTCACCGCGGCCTCCAAAGAACTCCGCACGAGGACTCGCAGACCGTGGGGGTTCCAATAACCAGCCTCGAACGTATCCCTATCCCTAAGATGGGCGAGCAACAAGCGAGGACAATCTTAGGGATAGGCCCTCAGAAATTGAGGGAATCCTTAAGATCGGCATCGAGGTGAGGTGATGTCAAACATAGGGATAGGGATATGTTTCAAACTGGTAATCCAAGACGGCGCGCACCATGGGCCAGGGGCACCTTGAGCACCGCCAGACTCTCTCTAGAGTAGCTCGAAACACCTGCACAGGGCACCAGCCGACGCGAGCGCCGCACGCAGCGGGTCTCCGCAGATCTGGCGCCGCTCAGCGCCGCGGCTGGTGCGATTCGGGCCCGGGCGTCCTCTCGACGGTGTCCTGTGCAGGGCAGAACGCAGGGGTCCCCCATCGCATCGAAGGCCACCTGCGTCCATTCTCGGAACCCACGCGCATTCCTTCAGGACCCTCCGATGGAAGGTCGAAGCCGTTCAACGCGAGGCTCACGGTGGGTCGTTGCCTTCCCGCCCGCCACGGCGCGGTGGCGCATATGCGCGGCTCCAGAACTAGAGTTAGATGTAAGGATATTATTGTGAATGGTAATCATACGTGTGATGCTAATAATAATAAACAAACAGAGTTTACGAGTCGTAGTATCAACGATCATAAGAATGACAATAATAACACTAACCCGACACATAATCAAAATATGTATACGAATGCTAACAGCAAAAACATGATCACAATATTCAAAAAATACTGACACGAATACGAATCACAAAAATAGGATGGATGATACGAATAATACAAATCATACAAATGATAATGCTGCATGCGCCGGGCCGCTAAGCTAAGGGCGCGGTGTCCGTAGGTCCCTGCGAATTCTCAGCATTGAAGATTGTAAAATATCATTCATAAATCCAGCCACCGAGATCTGGGCAGTCATTGACTCCCTCTCGATTTTCCAAGGGGGCCCGGAAACGCGTCTGGGATTCCACACTAGAAGCATGACTTAACATGGTGCCAAAGCCGGTTATGTAATCCTTTGTGGCGCCTTCCGGGCCGCTCTGGCAACACGGGGGGCCCGCCCGGGAGACTTTCATCGCCGATGCAACTAAGAGTTGCTTTCACTGCCTTGTCAAACTCCTTGCTCTTCTCACGGGGAAGCACCGGAGGTCGACCCCGAGGCCTCGACTAGGCCCAAAAAACCCAGCATGGTGCCAACAGAAGCCCCAAACAGAGGTGACCCGCACTGAGTCATCGAGCCCATCCCCCCGAGATTGTGCCCACGAGGCCCGAGACCGCAAGCAGGCCTCCAAAGAGGCATCAGAACAGCCGCGCCTGCGAAAAGGAGAGGAGGAGGCGAGAAACGCCCGGGGGCGGAGAAACGATGAGAAGGGAGGAAGAATTAGGGGATTCTGAGACGACGCTTCTTCTGCAAGGGTGGACGGTACCCAGGTGGCTGGGCTTTGAGGAGCAACCACCAACAAATGGGTTCCCAACCCTGGAGCGCATCGTGAGGCGCCCAACACGTGGGCCTGAAGCCCAGGAGTTGGGATACATATCCAAGGGATACGCTTGGAACTGATGGCGCAGCCACTTCCGATCAGGATCAGCGCATTACCAGGACGAACAATTGGAATCCAGAGGATTGGGAGCGAAGGCGCGACTTGCAAACGACGCAAGATGGACAGGTGACAGGGAGGCCAGGGACGGGGAGAGCGGAAACAACGCGCGCGGACGGCGAAATCTGGAGAATTGCAAGGTGGTAAAAAGACAGTGGCGAGAGCTCGCGTTTTCGCTTGCGTGGCGCCCAGGCGTCCAAAACGGCGGCGAATAAGGTTTGAGATGAAGTACGATTGCAACAATGTGGCTAGGGACATGTGTTCCTTCAGGCACTTAGGCGGCCCTTTGTTGAATTCGGGATGTTGACATAGAGAACCTGTCCCAGGAGTAGATAGCCCTTTTTGAGGTGAACTCGCGGTTGGGATCCTTCTCGAGCCTCCAGGGATTCCGGGATTTCGAATACGCTCCAACAGCGCTGCTGATAAAACCACTCCCTACGAGTAACTGGATAGTTGGATGGTATGTCTGCAGCGGTTCAGGGCAAGCTGAGAGATAGCAGCGTTGTGGCCGGGGCAGCGCGGGTGATAGCGGCGAGGTGAAGACAGACGGTAGGGACGCGGGCGCAGGGGTGGAGGGACAGACAACACGCGTGAGGATGGCGATCGGAGGGAAGAACACCCCCCCACAGCCAGCCCCAGGTGTAGGGCTTGGAACCGCACGCTCGGACATGGTGGGGGATGGGGCTGACTGCAGGCCCTCGAATGTCTACTCGGACCTTGGAGGACATCTACTCTCATGAGGGCAAACCTGATTACGCACCGTGCGGAAGGTAGGAGGTGGGGAAACATCTCCTTCTCAAGTGCAACCGCCTCCGGCGGCTGATCGAACTTGCTGCCCTTGAAGGAGCGTGTGCGCGTGTGCGTAAAACGCGTGTGCATGTGGGCGATGTGCGCAGGACGGCCAGCGTTGCCGCTGGACTGTGCCCGGGAGGTCGATGCCTCCCTTGGGGCGGGCCAGGGTGGGAGCACATCAGGAGGCGGTGCACGCTGGACGGCTGGCATCACAGACAGGTTGCCCTGGAGGTCGAAGCCTTTTTGGGAACTGGCTGGGAGTGAGGAGCCGTGGAGGTGCGCGCCTCTTTCACAGACGCTCCCCTCCCCGCACCATGGCACACACGGCGGGTATGCACCAAAAGCAGGAACCAGGGCGCAGGACATGGGATGGACGAGAACCGGAAGCTAGACGCCAAAGGCACAAAGAGGCCCAGAAGCGAAACGAGAATGGATGGATGGATGGCGCTCTCTCCCTCTTCGCCGAGGCGAACCGACGGGGGAACAGCAGCAGCGAGGTAACACGGAGCATGACCAGGAAAGACGGATGGCGGGACAAGCAGCCGTGCAACAATGGGGGCGGGATGAGACAGGCACGAGAAGGTGTCGCCACCGCTTCCTAACCCCAGGGGTGATGCTGCAAGTGTTCGTCGGGTGCACGCCATGCTCACACCCTTACCGGCGCCCCATGCGTCCTGCACGGAAGCCACCCCAGGGATTATGAGGAGGAGGAGGACTAGGACTAGGACTAGGACTAGGACTAGGAAGAGGAGGAGAAGGAAGGTGGAGGAGGAAAGGGTGACAAGGAAGGAGGAGGAGGCGGAGGGGGAAGAGCAGGGCAGTAAGGAGGGGAAGGAGCTTGAGGAGGAGGAGGAGGCGGAGGAGGAGGAGCAGGAAGACGGAGTCGAGGAGGGCGACGGGATATCGAGGAGGAGCAGGAAGCGAGCAAGGGCTGAGAGGCCGCGGACGCCGACGGCGGTGACGTTGACGACTCTCGAGGAGCGCCTTGGCTGACGGCGGGGGGACGCGCGCGCGCCGGCTGAGCCCGCTGCCCGGGCCAGGAGGGTCTGCAGCTGCATCAGGAAGAGGGCCCGCAGCGGAGGGTCCAGCGCCTCCCCGGCGTCTGGTGGTGGTGGAGGAGGGAGGAGGAGGAGGCGCGCCCAGGGGCGTCGGGGCGCGGGGGAGGCCCCTGCCGATTCTCCTCCTCCTCCTCCCCCTCCTCCTTTTCCTCCTCCTCTCCTCCTCCTCCTCCTCCTCCTCCTCCTCCCCTCCTCCTCCTCTCCTCCTCCCCTCCTCCCTCCTCCTCCTCCTCCTCTCCTCCTCCTCCTCCTCCTCCTCCTCCTCCTCCTCCTCCTCCTCCTCCCCCTCCTCCTCCTCCTCCGTTCTGCCGAGCCCGAGGCTGAAGCGAGAGGGGGCGGGCCTTCTCGGACGCTTCGGACGGCCTCGGGCCTTCAGAAGTTTGCTGAGCCTTCACCGAGGGCACCGGCACCTTCTGAGAGGGCGCGAGGGCGTCCGAGAAGTCCCGTCGCCTTCCGAGGAGGCCTTCTCCCTCGGACTTCATCCCCCAGGCGCGCCGCCGAGGAGAGGGGGGCCGTGGCCATAGGCTGACACCATGTTCGAACCATTACGCACTTAAGGGGGATTCCGCTCACCGCCCCTCATCAACATCAAGGGGGCATCTTGCGCCGCAGGGGTCGGATCTACTGTCTATTTACGGAAGAGATGGAAAGGGATAGGCCGAAGGGAGGGAGGACGGAGGGAGGGATGGAGGGGGAGGACGAAGGGAGGGAGGGAGGGAGGGAGGGAGGGAGGGACGCTGGGTTCGCTGACGAGCGGTAGTACCCTTGAGCCTGGAAGAGAGAGCCTCTGTGTGTGCAGCCGGTGGCCCCTGGCGGCCAGGAGTCCACTGTCCTTGCTCGTGTCATCGGCAACTGGCGCGCGGGCAGCAGCTGGGGAGGGGGAGGGGGAGGAGGAGGAGGAGGAACGAGGGACAAGGAGGGAGAAGGAGGGAGAAAGAGGAGGAGGAGGAGGAGGAGGAGGAGGAGGAGGAGGAGGAGGAGGAGGAGGAGGGGAGGGGGAGGGGAGAGGCGGAGAAGGAGAAAAAGTAGGGAGGAGGAGAGGAGGAGGAGGAGGAGGAGGAGGAGGAGGAGGAGGAGGCGGAGGCGGAGGCGGAGGCGGAGGAGGAGGAGGAGGAGGAGGAGGAGGAGGAGGAGGAGGAGGAGGAGGAGGAGGAGGAGGAGGAGGAGGAGGGAGGAGGAGGGAGGAGGAGGAGGAGGAGGAGGAGGAGGAGGAGGAGGAGGAGGAGGAGGAGGAGGAGAGGAGAGGAGGAGAAAGGAAGGAGAGGGAGGAGGAGGAGGAGGAGGAGGAGAGGAGGAGGAGGAGGAGGAGGAGGAGGAGGAGGAGGCGGAGGAGGAGGAGGAGGAGAGGGGGAGGAAGCGGAGGAAAAGAAGGAAGGAGGGAGAGGAGGGGCTACCGTCGACGGCGGCGTCCAGCCAGGGCGCGCCATCACGCGGATGCTGCCGCTGAGGACTAGGGTGATGCGGAGATTTGTTCACGGCAACGAAGGCCACATGACCCGATGTCAGATGTTTGAAGTAAGAATGAAATCGGCAGGCTGTCCCGCCGCAGGACCGTCACCGTACGTTCCTCCGGGGCGAATCAAGAGCCCTGGCGCGAAAGAGAAGTCGGGGCAGAGAGACGAGCGGGAGGAGGGTGACAGGGGAAGCAGAGGTCGGAGGACGCATGAGAATGCGCGCGAACTGAATTTCGCCCACTCGTACCACCCACCCGTGGCGACAGCCCAGGTGATCAGGCGAAGTGGCCCAAAGCACAGCGCATCGCCATCAGGCGGGTGATGCGGAGTGTGGTAGAGTGAAGGAGGGAGGAGGCATGTCGTGGCATGGAGATGGGGTAGGGAGGGGAGACAGTGAGGACGGAGGAGAAGAGAAGGGAGGAGGCAGGCGGGCTGGTCATAATGAGGACGGCACTCAGTAGAATGAAACTGGAGCTGGACCCCAAACAGTGCACAGCAAGTGCTGACTGAGGAAAACCATTTTGGCGTGGACATTCGACACGGGCGCCACAAATTGAGCTCTACGAGCAGAGCAATTCTCGAAGCGCAGAGGCCAGTCAAGGATCGAATCCACACCATGACTCCCTCGGCCCGCCCACCAAGACACTCCTGCTCCACATCAGGTAGCGTGGCCAGCATCGGCTGAAATCGTCGACAGGTGGCTCCGGGCAGACAGATTTGCGTGAGAGCTCATACAAGAACGACCGCACTGAGGGGGATGCAGGGATGGAGGGAGGAATGTATGAAACGAGGGGAGGGACAGGATTGAGACACAAACCTCACATCTCTGGTTCGCTCCACGCCCTCTGCTTTATGTGAGAAGCGGGTAACTACGCAGGCAGTGCAGTTGTCCTTCGTCGAGGCACCTTAGAAGGGAGCACCACACGGAAGGGGAGGCAAAGGGAGACATCCATCACCGCCGATGGGAACATCGATCTACCTGGCTCAACAACGGCACGACGCCCGATCAGTCACGACAGCGATCTGTGACAGCAACGCCAACTGGCGACGGGCGACAACGCGCGGCGAGCTGGCGTGATGAACGTTCCTGCCCCCACTGGGCTCACACTCGCAGAGCATGAGAAAGGAGGAAGACTCCGCTGCCTCAGACGCAGACTTGCATGCAAATATCGAGCGGGGGCACTGAACGGCTTGGTCCACAAATACGGGAGTGGCCTAACAGCGATAAAGAAGCCTGGGCTGAAAGGTTGGGCTCTGGGGTTCAGGGGACTGAACAACTATCAGCGGGACTGGGCTGCACGGCTGGGCTCCAGGATTCGGGAGTGGCCGAACAGCTATAAACTTGCCTGGGCTGAACGGCTGGGTTCCTGGATTCGCGAGTGGCCGAACAGCGTCTCCTCCGCCGCGGCCGATGAACATTCACTCCAACCTCACCTGAACTAATGACATTGCAGCCAAGACGACTATTCACGGCTGCGCGTCCAATGGTACTCTGCTTGCTGCGCTTTCTGCTCGCCTTGTGCCTTCCTTACTCTGCACACGTGCAAGGAGAACACTGTGCACCATGGGGGCGTCCTTGCAGTCGCCAAGGAAGGCGGCAAGGCTTGCACTGCCCTGCGCCGTGCAGAACGGACCCCGCGGAGACCTGCGGCTGCCGCACGGCAGTCGTGCAGTCCTCGTCAGGAGGCAGCGGCGGTAGCACACCAAAGTGGGCTGCACCAAAAGCGTCAGATCTGGGAGTACGCTGCGCCAGTGGATGCCCAGCGCGGGAAAGCCAAGCGGCAATGCGTTCATCAAAGGGCTCCTCCCGCCGCCAACCAGCAGCAGCAGAAGCAGCACCAGCAGCACCAGCAGCAGCAGCAGCAGCAGCATCGGCCTGGTCCATGAGGGCGCCAACCATCGTCAGGGCAAGGGCATTACGGCAGGCATGCAAGATGCTGTCGCCGTCGGGTGCGCCGTTGCTGGAAACGAGGGGATCCCCTGGGAGCGCGATACAGCAAACGCTCGACGGATGTGATCGGCTCCATACGTCGAGCAAGCTCCCGGGCTACCTGCACTGCAGGCCGAGCCCGGCCTCCTCGGCATAAAATGGAAACCATGGACACCTGTGGGCGTTTGCAGACGGACGCCGGGGAGCAGGCCTGCGCGAACCGGGGGCGCGGGGAATGGCGGAACTGCCCTGCTCAAAGAATCGGAGGCGAGCGAGGGGGGGAGTGAGAAGGAAAGACCTTCTCGGAAGGCGGCGGGCCCTCTCAGAAGGCATCTGGTCTTAGAAAACTTCTGAGAAGGCCAGGGGGCTTCCGAGCCTTCTGAGAGGGCCCGCCGCTTCTCACTTCCCTCCCGGGCTCGCCGCCGAAATGAGGCGACGACACTGCGAAGAGACGGCATGCGACGGCAGCCACACTGAAGCAGCTGCCTGCGAGTCGCACTTGCGCCGAAACAACGCTCGCGGGAATGTTCGGGGGTGCACGGAATATTGAGCAGGGACCGACCCTCCCGGCATTCCTATAATTGTACCACGATATGTTCTTAGAGCCCCAAAATGTTCCAATAACAAAACAATGTTCTTAGAACATAAACCCGATGTGATAAAACATGACACTCCCAACCAGAAATGTTCTAACAATACGTCGCGGGAACCACAGAAGGTTATTAGAACATTATTTCGTGGGGCTATAGGCGAGCTGGGACGCTTCGCCACTGGTTGAGGTATAGACGGCGAACCTTCGGCAGCCGCCGCCTGGCCCCCGGCTCCGCTCTCGGCCTCTGCCAGGCTCATGGCGTCCCTCGGGCGCTCGGTCTCTAAGCGAGGCCCGGCTCCCCAGGCGCTCGGCCTCTGCTTGCCGCTCGGCTGCGGCCTGGCTCTCGGCTGCGGCCTGGCGTTCGGCTGCGGCCGGGCGTTCGGCCGCGGCCGAGCGTTCGGCCGCCGCCTGGAGCGCAGACCCTGCTCGCCGCTCGGCCTCCGCCTGGCGCTCGGCTTCGGCCCGGCGCTCGGCCCGGAGCTCGGCTGCAGCCTGGCGCTCCTCTGCGACCAGGCGTGCCGTCGACCAGCCTCAGCCCATCGCGATGCACCGGGGCGCGGCGCCTGGCCCAAAAGCGGCGCGGCACGCGGTCTCCTGGCACGCGGTCGCCAGAAGGCCCGACAGCGGCAAAGGCCCGCGACTCCGCCCGCCAGGGAGAGAGGCTACGGGCCTGGAGCGCGAGCGCAGGCCAGCCGGCCTCGGCGACAAACCGCGCTGCAGCTGGTGCCGGGGCGCCCAAGCCAGCCACGCCTGGTGCCAGGGCTGGCAGGCCTCAGCGGCGGCATCCGTCCACCCACATCCTCTGGCGCCTCCGCGCGCGCCGCGAGCTCCTAAATAAGCAGGACGTCCACGGGCGGCGCGTCGAGGCCGGGCGGAGTGCCACCGCCCATCAGGTTGCGCACGGCCAGCGCGTGCACTTCCGCACGCCGGATGGCGACCCTGCGCGTCCTGAGGCGACGTCTGCCCGCAGCGAGAGCCACACCCGACGGGCGGCACAGCACGGAGCAGGCCATCGGCAGGCAGCCGTGGTGGGCACGGCGAGCCCGGCGCGCCGAGATCGGTGGGGCGGGCGCGTCTGGCAGCTGCCCCGACGAGGTTCGCAGAGCAGCTCGAAGCAGGACGGCGGCCGGAGGAGGGGGAGGAAGGAGGAGGGAGGAGGTCAGAGCGAGCGGGCGGCAGACAGACACACACACACACACATACACACATACATGTACCTATACGACCACCCTGCGGGTGATCAGGAGGTTTGGGGGGGAGGGGGCCAGCAATGGGCAACAGTGGGGACACCACGGGACACCGATGGGACACCGACGGGCCACAATCGATCTCACTGTCGTTCCCACTATCCATCCCACTATCGATCCCACGATCGATGTCGCTATCGATCTCACTACCGATCTTGCTTTCGATCTCACTGTTCATCTCACTATTGATTCCACTATCGATATCGCTATCGATCCAACTCGATAGATCTCACTATCGATCTCACTATCGATATCACGATCGATCTCACTACAGATCTCGCGATCTGTCTCTCACTATAGATCTCACTATCGATCTCTCTATCGGTCTCATTATCGATCTCACTATCGATCTCACTATCGATCTCACCGTCGATCTCACCACGGGACACCACGGGGCAACGACGGGACACCAGCGGGACACCAGCGGGGCACCAGCGGGACACCAGCGGGACACCGCGCGCCACCGGTTGCCCGGCGGAGAACCTTTTGGTCCGGCCGCGGCCCAGCCACGACGGGACCGGCGGGACACCAGCGGGACACCAGCGGGACACCGCGCGCCACCGGTTGCCGGGAGGAGAACCTTCTGGTCCAGCCGAGGCCCAGCCTGCAGGAGAATTTCCTCCCCCGCCCACGCAGCTTCGCCTCGCCCGCACGCAGGGCACGAACACGAAACCGAAATCGATTTCCCGGTAGGGAGGCTCTCCGTTCCAATTCGATCTCACCCCCTACCTTCGATACGTATATATGTGTGCACAAACACATCCAGATATATACAAGGTAGATGTGTGCACACGTTCAAAACACATAGTTGTGTATTATGCATACATCCATTCACCCATACATGCATGCATGCATGCATGCATGCATGCATATATGTACATACAACAGTACCATGCATTACAGCACATGCATTCCATTCCATTACAGTACACTGCTGTACATTACTTTACTTTACCGTGCACACACTTACGTACATACATATATGCATGCGTGCATGCCTGCATACATCCATACATACATACGTACATACACACGTACAGACACACATACATACATACAGACAGACAGACAAACAGACAGACAGACAGACATACAGACACACACACACATACATGTGTACGTGCATATATGCACACACACACCTCCATACACATAAATACACGCAAACATACATACATGCATACATTCATGCATACATATATACACTCATACACACGTAGGTACATTCATACAAACACATACACATTACATATACATACACGTGCACACAAACATACATACAAACATACATACATACATACATACAGACATACATACATACATACATACACACATACGTGCGTACGTACGTACATACATACATACACACCCATACATACATACATACATACATACATACATACATACATACATACATACATACATATATACATACATACATACATACATACATACATACATACATACATACATACATACATGCATGCATGACGCATATATGCATACATGTATACCTGCATACATTCATCCATGCATGCATACATACATATGTATGCATGCCTGCATACATGCATGCATACATACACACATAAACACCTGCTTGTATACCTACCTGCAGTCATACACACCCACAACTTACATATGCGTATACACACATATGTGCATTCATTTATGCGTGCAACACAAATTCATCTGGAATTTGAGGAGGGACAATGGAGTGGAGAGGAAGGACGAGGAGGGAGACAGAGGAGAGAGGGATGAGGAGAAATGAGAAGCACGAGCAAAAGCGTGACCGGTGAGCAGGAGGAGGAGGAGGAGGAGAAGGAGGAGGGGGCGGGGGGAATGCTCCCCCTCCTCCTTCGTCCACCTCCCACACCGGTGAACACGATGTCGTCGACGACGACGACGACCACCACCACCACGACGACGACGACTCCAAACTTGTCCTGCTCCTCCTCCTCCTCCTCCGCCTCCGCCTCCTCCTCCTCCTCCTCCTACTGATCCTCCTCCTCCCTCTCCTCCCTCTCCTCCGGTTCCTCCTCCTCCCCCTCCTGACGACGACGGCGGCGGCGGCGAAGTCCGAGTCGACGACGAGGACGAAGAGGAAGAACGACGCTCCCCGACGGTGCCCCAGAGCGCGTGGGCCGCCGCTGGGCCTTTGCGAGGGCAGCCGAGGGGGTCTCGCGAGGGCACCCCGAGGGCCTCCTCCGACGATGGCCTCGACGAGGGACCCTCCGGACCTCCGAGGCTCTCCGCGGGCCTGCGGGGGCCCTCCGCGGACCTCCGCGGGCCCTGGACCTCCGCGGGCTTCCGCGGGCGCGCGCGCGCGCGCGCCGCCCGCCGCCCGCCGCCCGCCTGCTCCGCACTCTCGGCGCCCACGCCAGCGGCGGCGGCCGCCTCGGACGCCAGGCGCACGATGTCCGCGGCCCGCTGGCGCCGCGGCGCGTCGGGGAGGAGGGCGGCGCCGAGGCTCGAGGGCTCCTCCTCCTCCTCCTCCTCCTCCTCCTCCTCCTCCTCGCCCCCCGCGGTGGTGGTGATGCGGACTGGACTGGTCACCAGGAACTGGAGCCCTCGCCGTGGGCGCGACGGGGGCCTGCAAACGTGGGCGGCGCAGCAGCCCAAAGGGGGGGCTTCCTCTCTGAGGAGAGGGAGACCGACAGCAGGTCGACACGAGGAGGAGCAACAGGAGGAACAGAGAGAAAGAGAGAGAGAGAGAGAGAAAGAGAGGGGAGGGGAGGAAGGGCGACAGAGGGGAGGAGGAGCCAGGGGAGGGCAGGCACGACGGAGGAGGGCGGGAGAGGGGAGGGGAGAGTGTCGCCAGCACTGCTGATGCCTCCGTCTTGATTCGGAGGTTCTCTGAGGGGGGCTTCGGCGGCATCGGCGGCCCTATGGTCACTGTCGCGCGTGTTCGGCCTGCCTCGCGGGCCCTTTCCCTCTTCCTCCCCCACCCCCCCGTCGCCCGTGCCACGGGCGGCAAATGGCGGCCGGAAGCGCTCTCCGAAGAGCTGCGGTTCGGTTCACACCCCCGCCGCCCAACTTCTTCCCCAGCAGCGTCACTTGGGGGAAGGGGGGGGGGGCTGCGAGAAGAGAGACGTGCGCGGTGAGACAGGCCCAAGGCGGCCGTGCGCGGCCTGGGCCCGCTAGTTGCCCCGGGATTTGGCGGTCCACCCCCAACCACCATCCCTCCTTGATGCTTGTTGACCATCTGTGATCGGGTTTAGCACCAACCCTTTGTTGCCGACGGCGCGTTGGGGGATGTCAGCCGAGCCCAAAAGCTGGGACCTCCCCGCTTTTGCTGTTCGGCGCCCCTTGCACGCCTGGACTTGGCTACCCGAGCAGTCAAAAGCCCGGCCATTTATGGTGAGGGTCGGTTTGATGCAAACAGAATGATTCAGGGTGGCGGAAAAAATATGACCACTGGCAGGACGGAGCCGAGCCCGAGCGGGGCCGTCGGGCGGCAGGCGCGCCCAATTTCCTCGGGCGGGGCGTTCAGTGGCATCCGCTCTTCGAGGCAGTCCTGTGCCCCCCCCCCCTCATCCTAATCTTCGTCCTCCTCCTCCTCCCCCTCCTCCTCCTCCTCCTCCTCCTCCTCAGAGAAGACAAGAAAACTTGTGCGGGGCAGTGCCGTCACAAGCAGACTCGGGCACAGAGAAGGAACGACCGTCCCTGAGTGTAAGGGTTAGGGCCGCTCCAAGTCTTCTCACGCGGTGCCCAGCGCGGCCGCGCAAGCCTCTGCAATCCTCTGAGCTGTTTCGAAGTCCCTCACCAGGGCTGCGAAAGGGGCAGTGACGGACATCACGAAAGTGCCGGCGCCGCAGATCCTGTCCTTTCTGATCAAGGCCTGGACGCCAGTCCACTCGCGAATGTTGCTCCCGTAGTCGTTTACGTGCTCCAAAAATCCGCCCTGCGCCCTGCCCGAACCTCTGTCGATGTCGACTAGGATCTCGCAGAAGTAGCCCGTGTGGAGAAGTAGCCACTGGTGCGCTAGGACCCCAGGCGCAGTCCTGCGGGCGAGCGCGGCGGCCGCCCTCCGCCTGAAGAGTTGCTTGCTGTTGCTCAGAGGTAGAGGTCGCGGGCGCCTGGCTGCAGCGCCCATTCCAGCGCCAGAGCCCAAGGAGCTGTTGAAGCCGCAGGGGTCGACGTAGCCGCAGTAGTTGGCGTAGCCCGAGGGTCGGGCGCAGCCGAAGCACGCGGCGCGGCTGCCGATGTCGGCGCAGTAGTGGCTCCAACAGGGGCGTCGGCCACCTTCCCGTCGGAGGCCCTGCCAGGAGCTGCAGCAGGAACATCGGCCACCCCCCGACGGGGGCTGTGCTCTTCTGGACCGATGGGCCAAGGAAGCCGTCGAAACCGAAGAGGCAGGTGTAGCCGCAGTAGCAGGTTTTGCCGAAGTAGTAAGCGCAGTGGCTGCAGTAGCTGGCGCAGCCGGAGAGGTAGGAGTTGCCGCAGTAGCTTGCGTAGCCGAGAAGGTACGCGTGGCCGCAGCAATTGGTGTAACCGCAGTGGCTGGTGTAGCCGCAGGGGTCCGTGTAGCCGCAGTGGCCCTGCCCTGAAGGGTGGCCCTGCTCTGAAGGGTGTAGCCGCAGTGGCCCTCTCTGGAGCACTGGGTGCTGTTGTAGCCGAAGAAGTAAGTGTAGCTGCATTATATGGCGTAGCAAAAGATAGGGGCAATTGAAGCAGGCGGTGCGGCAGCAGAAATCGGCGCAATTGCGAGTCCAGCAAGGGCGTCAGCCACCCTTCCGTCGGAGGCCCTGCTGGAAGTGCAGCGGAGGCGTCGGCCACCCCCCTGCTCTTCTGCGCCGCTGAGGCCGTGGAAGCCGCTGTACTCGAAGAGGTAGGTGTAGCCGACGAGGGTGAAGTAGCCGAAAAAGTTGGGGGACCCTTGGTGGACGGGATGGGCTCCGGCGCGTTGGAATTTACATTCGCGGCGTTGGCCCACGTGGAGGCGGAATTGCCGGCGGCTGCCTTGACCAGGTCAGCAAACTTCTGGGCACTGGCCTGCGTTATGTGGTAGACGCAGTTGTATGCTCTGTCCAGATGTCTGAGTTTCTTGCACATCTAGTTGTCGATCATCTGCAGATTTCGACATTGCCGAACTGCTTGCGCCAGGAATTCGTAGTGGATCCAGGTGGCGTGTGAGCTGAGAATATAAATATAGAGAGAAGAACAACAAACAACATTACCATTTGCGGATTCCTTATGCCCGTGTGGGAAGCTATGGAGATTGAAAACAACCTGATGGTCCTACAACCTTGCCGATGAGGTGCGGGAGTCCCCTAAGCCAATCCGTTCGTCGGGCTGGCCCCGTTGAGCCAAAATGGCTGCGGACTCCTCGCCCTCCTCCTTCTTCTCCTCCTCCTTCTCCTCCTCCTCTCCTCCTCCTCCTCCTCCTCCTCCTCCTCCACAAATACTCAATATGAATATACTCTCCCTCTTCCCCTGATGGCGTCCGGGTGATGGCCGCGCACCCTCCGCGTACTGTTTTTTTAACACACAGGATGCCCGGGAAATCCCGGGAAACGACTCTCGCTGAGGCGCCGGCGTCTTTTTTTCCCAAAGTGCTGCTCTCGCGCCGGCGTCATTTTTTCCCAAAATGCTGCTCTCGTTGAGGCGCCGGCCTCATTTCTGCTCCCGAATCCTTCCCCTGATGGCGTCCGGGTGATGGCCGCGCACCCTCCGCGTACTGTTTTTTTACACACAGGATGCCCGGGAAATCCCGGGAAACGACTCTCGCTGAGGCGCCGGCGTCATTTTTTCCCAAAATGCTGCTCTCGTTGAGGCGCCGGCCTCATTTCTGCTCCCGAATCGTTCCGAATCGTGCTCCCGCTGCAGCGTGGGCCTCATTTTCGGATCGGTGTTTGGCCTCCGTCGTTCAGGATGGCGTTCTCGCCCCAGCGCGGGCCTTTTCTCGCGCGCCCATCCGCCCGCCACCACCGCGCCGCACCGCCACCACCACCACCACCACCACCACCACCACCACCACCACCACCACACCAGCACACAGTACACACACCACCACCACCACCACACCACCCAGCCCACCACCACACACCACCACCCACCCACCACCACACCACCACCACCCCACCACACCACCACCCCACCAGCACCACCACCACCAGCACACCACCACCACCAGCACCACCACCACCACCATCACCACCACCACCACCACCACCACCACCACCACCACCACCACCACCACCACCACCACCACCACGACAATCACGCACACACGCACGCACGCACGCACGTGCACCACCACCCACTACGCACGCGCGCGCGGAGCCACAGGTCCGCTACGACACGCGTCCGCGGATAGAGAAAATCAGCGCCATGGTAAGGGATGGGAGGGAGGGGTAGGACGTCAGATATGACGCGAGCGCACCTAGCTTGTCCTCCTCCTCCTCCTCCTCCTCCTCCTCCCCCGTGAGAGGCTCAGGCAGCGGCCAAGTATCGGCCACGCTGCTGGGTCAAGGCTTCAGGTTCCAGGCTTTTTCTCATCATCTACGGACCGATGGCAACAAGGGGTAATAGTCGCTGAACGGTTGAAGCAGAGTGGCCCCAGAGCGAGAGGAAGGCAGAGGTGATATGCAGACATCAGGCGGCGCCCTAAAGTCGGCGGGCCATGGACCGAAACAGACTCGAGGGCCCAGGCTTTGGGGGAGCGACCCTCTTTGGGGAGCCCTTTGCGGGCCTGTCCAGGCCTCCGCAGACCTCTGGAGGCGGAGGCCGTCGACGGTAGTCGGTCATCGTCGCTCTCGCCGTCGGCGTCGCCGTCGCCGTCGCCGTCGCCACCGCCCTCGCCCGAGCCCTCGCCCGCATCGTCGTCGTCAAGAACGTCTGCATGGTCGCTGTCGACATCAACGAAATCGTCCTCCGTGCCCTCTTCCCCGTCCTCCTTCCCCTCTCCTCCCACCTCCCACCTCCCCATTCTTGCCCTCTCCCTCCTGCTCCTCCCCATCATACCCCTGCTCCTTCTCCTCCTCCTCCTCCTCCTCCTCCTCCTCCTCCTCCTCCTCCTCCTCCTCCTCCCCCGCCTCCCCCCCAGACTCCTCCATGATCGGGGGCAGTTCTTCGGCGATTACCCCAGCAAGTACCCCGATAGCAGCAAAGGCGAAGATGCGGGACAGGGGTGAGGAGCAGCCTGGACAGGGGCGAGAGCGAGGAAGTAGGCACCTTAGCACATGTTCTTGCCAGTGGATCGTGGCCGTCAGGAACCCAAACAAGTAGGCGGCACCGAGGCGAGGGCACGGCCATGTGCACTTTATAGTGTATCGTAAGATCGTGGCCGCCCGGATCAAACATGCAGCAAGCCGGCATTGTAAGCGAGAGCACAGTCATGCGCACCTCACTAAAATTGTCTCAAAAGAAACTGTGGCCGTCTGGACCAAAGATGTAGCCACCATTCAGGCGAGAGCACGGCCATGTGCACCACCTGAGCGCTTTCATGGCAAACAGATCGTCGCCAGGCAGAGCAAAGATGCAGACGGCATTGAGGCGAGAGCACGGCCATGTGCAGCTCAGTTGACTTGTCCCAACCATCCTGTGATGTCAGGTCCTCGTTTTGAATCCGCAGCGCGGCGCGTCTCCTCATTCTCCTTCTCCTCCCAACCCCTCCTCCGTCCACTTCCTCATTATCATCATCGTCTTCCCCCTTCACATTTCGGCACACCCCTCACCTCACATGTCTCGTGGCCTCATACGGAGCTCCACCGAAGGCCAATGCAGCGCCCGCATGGTGAACCGCCCAATTTCGGCGCACCCCTCGCGCGGTTCGTGCACCCATGGAGGGTCCACTGAAGGTCCCAGTGGGAGCGTCCGCACGGTTAACCCGCCCCAGGTCGGCACACCCCATCACACCTTTCGTGGCCCCACAGGGAGCTCCACCCAAGGCCCGAATGGGAGCGTCCGCATGCTTACCCGCCCCATGTCGGCACACCCCTCACACGCTTCGTGGCCCCGTAAGTAGCTCCGCCGAACGGCTCAATGGCTGCAGCCGCATGGTTACCCGCCCCATGTCGGCACACCCCGCACACGTTTCGTGGCCCCATTGGGAGCCCCACCGAGAGCCCCAATGGCTGCGTCTGCATGCGGCACCGCCCTATGTCGGCGCACCTCGCACGCTTCGTGGCCACGTAGGGAGCTCCGCCGAAGGCCCCAGTGGCGGCGTCCGCGTGGTGACCCGCCCCACTTCCGGCGCACTCCTCACACGTTTCGTGGCCCCATAGGGTGCTCTGCCGAAGGCCCCAGTGGCTGCGGCCGCATGATTACCCGCCCCATTTCCGCGAACCCCTCACACGTTCCATGGATTCAACAGGAGCTCCGCCGAAGGTCCTGGTGGCTGCGTTGGCATGCGGCCCCGTCCCCTTGCGGCAGACCCATTGCACTCTTCGAGGCCCCATAGGGAGCTCCACTCAAAGCCCCGGTGGCTGCGTTCGCATGCGGCCCGCCCGATTCCGGTACACCCCTCACATGTTTTGTGGCCCCATGTGGAGTCCCATGTGGAGCTCCAACGAAGGCCCCACTGGCTGCGTTCGCATGCAGCCCTGCCCCATCTCGGCACACCCCTCGCACGCTTCGTGGTCCTACATGGGAGCTACACCAAAGGCCCCACTGGCTGCGCTCGCATGTGGCCCCACCGCATACCCGTCGCACGCATCGTGGCCCCAAAGAGAGCCCAACCGAAGGCCCCAATGGGTGCTCCACGGCGCATTCGTTTCCGTCTTCTCTCGCGCGGACAGAGTCGCGAGAGCGGGCGTGTGATTGGAAAACGTTGAGTGTGGTTTGACGTTTTTGGCGAAACGTTAGGGGGAACCGCAGGCCCCTCGCAGCGATCCTTTTCATAGTCGCCTCGTTGTGAGAATTGGTTGGGCTCTTTGCCAAGCTAATAGTTGCACTAAGATCGTGACCGTCGGGAACAAACATGTAGCTGGCATTTAACCGAACGGCCATGCGAACCTTAGCGAAACGTTTGCAAAACAATCATGGCCATCTGGACCAAAACATGTAGCCGGCACTCAGGCGAGAGCACGGCCATGTGCACCTTAGTGCATTTCCTCCAGATCAAGCCGCATGAACCAAATGCAGCGGGCATTGAGGCGAGAGCGCGGCCATGTGCACCTCAGTGCATTTGGCTGCGTCTGCATGTGGCCCCGCCACATTTTCGGCACACCCCTCAAACGTTTCGTGGCCCCATGGGGAGCTCCACCGAAGGCTCCAATGAAAGCGTCCGTATGGAGCCACGTCCCATTTCGGCAAACCCCTCAGACGCTTCGTGGACCCATATGGGATCCGCACCGAAGGCCATAGTGGCTGCTTCCGTATGCGGCCCCGCCCCTTTTCGGCAGACCTCTCACACGTTTCGTGGCCCCATAAGGAGCTCCACTGAAGACCTCAGTGGCTGGGTCCGCATCGCGTGGAGCAGTCCTGTTTGTAGCCCATTTACAACAGGATCGTAGCCGTCCAGACGAATGATGTAGCTGGCAGTAGAAGCGATAGCACGGCCATGTGCACCTTAGTGTCTTCTCCAAAATTCCTGTGTTGGGTCCTCGTTTTGATTCCGCAGCGCCGCGCTTCTCCTCATCCTTCTCATCATCCTCCTCCTCCTCCTCCTCATCATCATCATCATAATCACCATCATCATCATCAGCATCATCAGCATCCGCATCATCAGCATCAGCATCAGCATCAGCATCATCATCATAATCCTCATCCTCATCCTCCTCATCATAATCATCATCACTGTCACCGTCACCATCTTCATCAGATTCATCATCATCACCACCATCATCATCATCATCATCTTCTTCCCTCGTCGAATGTCGGCAAACACTCACATGCTTCGTCACCCCATAAGGGAGCTCCGCCGAAGGCCCCAGCAACTGCGTCCGCATGAGGCCCCGCCACATTTTGGCACACCCATCGCACGCTCCGTGGACACGTAGGGGGCTCCACGGGAGGTCCCAATGACTGCGTCCGCATGCGGTTGACCCATGTCGGCCCACTCCTCACACGTGTCGTGGACGCACGGGAAGCTTCACCAAAGGGCCCAGTGGCTGTGTCCGCATGTGGCCCCGCTCCATTTCGGCACACCGCTCACACGTTTCGTGGCCCCGTAGGGAGCTCCACCAAAGGGCCCAATGGCTGCGTCCGCATGCGGCCCCGCCCAGTTTCGGCACACCCATCGCACGTTGAATGGACGCATGGGGAGCTTCACCAAACGGACCAGTGGCTGCGTGCGCATGCGGTCCCGCTCCATTTCGGCACGCCACCCACACGTTCCGTGGACCCATAGGGAGCCCCACGGACCCCCCGCCCAGTTTCGGGGCATAACTCCCACGTTTCGTGGCAGCGCCATAGGGAGCCCCACCGAAGGCCACCCTGGCAGCGCCCGCATGCGTTCCCAGGCCTGTTCCAGCATACCACTCACACGATTCGTGGCACCATTCGAAATTCCTCAGAAGGCCCCAGTGACAAGGCCTGCATGCGTGCTCGGGCCGATTTCGACACACCCCTTACACGCTTCGTGGTACCATAGGGGAGCTCCGCTACAAGGCGATATGCTCGAGCGCGGTAGCCACAACTGCACATGGCTGGACCCTTTGCCAGGCTCAATTCGCCAGGGATCGTGGCCGTCAGTACCGAGCATGTCGCCGCATTGCAAGGAGAGCACGGCCACGTGCATCTGAGAGCACGGCCATGTGCACAGCATCGTGGCCGCCTGGCCCAAAAGTGTAGTCGACATTTGAGGCGAGAGATCGGCCCCTCGACAAAGTGTGAGGGAGTTTGAAGCGGCTGCCAGCACAAGTTGGGCACAGGCTCCCCGTCACCCTGTGGGACTCGTCTATGGCTGTCCCGCGTCGCAATAGAACTTTCTAACGAAACGCGACGGAGGAGAAAGAGCTGTCCTCTGGGAACACGCCCTCAGACACAGATCCCCGAAGACTCTGTATTTTCGAGTCTTGGGCCCCTGAACCTCTCGACGACTTCCTAGGGACAAGCGCTTCATCCCGAGTCGTGAGTGATGGTCCAAGGGCCCGAAAACTGTCTTCGAAGCCGAACACGCTTAACATAACGTCGTCATAAGATCCTAGACTGCATATGCCAGCAATTGCACCACCCCCAGGCTTTCTACCAAAAGGTCATCTTCCGCACTCTTCGTATGCTTCCAACAAGAGAGGAGGAAAGAATTTGGACCCGCTCCGGCCATCGACTCCGCGAGGATGACGCGGGAGGAGGGAGGAGAACTGAGCAAGTTGGCCATCGCGTGAGGGTGAGGATGGGTGAGGAGAAAGGGACACAGAGGAGTGATAGCGAGGAGCCGAGAGGGAGGCGGGGGAGGAGGAGCCGAGGCAGGAGAATCAGGAAGGAGCAGGAGAGAGGGAAGCCTCGAGACTACGCCCACCCGCTCCTGACTGCGCCAGAGACGACGAGCACACGCCGCTGCCCCCCCATGGAGAGGGCCGAGCAGAGCTGCAGGCTGGAGGGCGAGCTGCCTTGCCGAAGTCGGGGACCATGCCCTTCTGGTGCACCAGCTTCGCGAGCGCGTCGACATCGCCGTACGCCTGGTCAGGCAGGGTGGGGGGGGGCAGGACCCTGACCTTCCAGGAGGACTAGAAAATAGCATGCGACTTAAAAACCTATCCCAGAGCTATTCAATGTCTTGGTTGTAGGCTGTTTCGTTTCGTTTCTTAGGTTTTTAGGCCTCCCGTGCTAAAACATAGCTCTCTGGAAGGTCAGGGGAGGAGGGGGGAGGGCAAGAGCAGACCAGAGGCGGAGGAGAGGCGAGCAAAAGCGAGCGAGCGAGGAGGAGGGAGCGAGGCAGAGCAACTGAGGGAGGGGAGACGGAGACGGTGCCTGCCTGGGGGGGGGTCCGCCAGCGTGCTTCAGCTCGCCATCGCTTGGACGTCCATTTCCTGTGTGTTTTTTTCAGTTCCGTGCGTGGCTTTTTCGCCAAATGATCAAGGATGCTCCTCGATGGTCCTCGCCGAAGGAAAAATGCACACGTCCGAGCGATGCCAAGTCAAGGTCCTGCACATCTCCGGGGGGGGCGTCCGCGGTCACTCCCGCTGTACGCTCGGGGGGCGGCGCCGCCCCTCCGCACGCAACAAGCGCTGCGGGCCGCAGGCGCTGCGAACCTCCAAGAGCTCCCCGCATCGCGCCGCTGGCGTCGTCTCCAGGCCGGGAGGAGGAGGCAGAGGAGGCACAGGGGTTTCAAGCTCGTGCTCTGACAGCACCGGGTCTAGTGGGGCCTGGTTTCGTGATGCGTGCCGGGAGGGGCGCTCCCCGGGCTCCGTGCCACGAACCAGACCTGCCGTCGCCCGCAAAACACCATTCACGGCAGACCTGGTTTGGTGAGTCTGGCCAATGGAGGGGCTCTGGGGCCCTTCGGAAGCCGGGCAAGGGCTGATGAATCCGTGGCTGCTAAAATCGACCTCCGGGAAGTTGTCTTCGTCCTTCTATGAAGAAGCCCGTGGACGGTTTCGCGTGCCGCGCCTCCATCCGGGAAGTCGTTTTTTGTTCCTTCCAGGTGAAGGCCGTTTTGGCAGCCACGGTTTGAGCAGCCCTCGCCCAGCTCTCGAGCTCTGCTGCTGACCGGGTCCCCTTGCCTGGGGGTCCTGGCTATGCCCGGCAAGTGTCCCTGGGCATCATGATGCCGCGCACTTGGCGCGGCCGGAACTGTCCCGCGCTGCCGGGGCCAACGGGCAGGTGTCTGTGCGGCATCGTCCGCCTGGGAAAACTCGACTGGAATGTGGACCCGCCTGGCCTGCGCCGGGAAGATCCATGCATTGGCTGCTCGCCCATGGCGAAGGGAGGGGGAGCTCTGCAGCTGAGCTGGGCGCGTCCACTCGGCGAATCGGCACGCCGGCAACCAAGTGCAAGTAACGCCCGCATTCGGCAAGTCCACTCGCCGGGCAAACAAAGACTTTGACACCGTGAAGGACAAGTCACCGGAAAACGCAACAACCTTTCAAAACAACACCTCGATGCGATGCGCTTGATCTTGTCGCGCGGCCGCAGTTCTTCCTGAGCGAAACCCACTTTGCGCATTCAGAGGAGTGTGCCGTCCGACTATGGAACGGTCTATTCAATGCGCGAGCCTGGGTGCATCGCATAGAGCGCTCAATTGCGATAAACTGGTGACGAAACTGAGCGTTCTGTTCAATGTTTGACCCCAGTTCCCCCGCTGGCACTCGTACGCGCCATGGATGGCTCAGAACAGCTCGGATGAGAGCAGCACCAGAGGACTTGGACATTGCAAGTGTTTCCCCCCTGCAACAACGCATACATGGGGTGTGCTGGTGATGGAACATGATGAACGGGACCCCCCCCCGTGTGAGGTTCGTCACTACCGAACGGACAAAGGCGCAAGCACAGAGGCCTGAACCGCTTCTGGGCAGGTGGTGCACGACTACCTCTTTCCGATCACGGGGAGCGGGAGGGGGTCAGACTCCAGACCTCCGAAGTGTAGATTGAACACGACATGGGCAAACCCGCCGTGTTTTTTGTTGTGCGACGCCTGGGAAACCGAGACCAGCCCATCACCTTCGCTCAAAATCACACGGACCAGGTGCTCGAGTTGCGTCCGACCGTGGCCAGAGGGAGCCCCCCTGAAGCCAAACAGAGGTGATTAGAAATTCGAGCGCGCCCCACACGCTCCTAAACCTCTCCGACGTTGTGATTTTCAAGACGAGGCTCTTCCTAGACCTCTCGACCCCTTCCCAGGGAGCTGTTCTTCGTCCCTGCCCACGTTGCGAACGGCCCTGAAACCCGCAAGTGCCCCCGAGGCTGGACAAATTCTGAACGGCTGGCAATTCCCGCCGTGGAGCAGGGCGGCTTGACGCGACGGTCGCAGAGCAGTGCGACGCCGACTGTGGGTGCCTTTTTTGTGCCTGCGTACGTTCTGCACGCATGGGAAGACGCGTCACAAACAGCGGAAGCACGAACTTTCGGCGGTCTGCGCTGACTCCTGCTGGTCGGCGCTGGACCCTCTCCCCGGGCGGGCATGCGCCAGAGGTGCCTCCAAGTGCAGGGTCCGGCGCCGATCCGAAAGGTCCGCGAGGGCCCAGGAGAGGTTATGCGTGCGCCGAGGTGTGTTTGTTCGAGCTCTCGTCTCTTCAATTGGCGGCGCGAACGGGGGTGGCGGAACGAGGGTGGTAGCCTTCTAAGAAGGTGGGGGGACTTCTAAGAAGGCAGGCCTTCTCATGAGGTGCCGTAGTTTCTAAGAAACCTTATAGGGACACAGGACCGGAGCATGCCCCTACGCTGCGACCCGTCTGTGATGACCGCGACCAGATGAAAGAGGGATGCGCGGAACAATTCGACGCGGAGATCCCCTCGCGCGCACCTCGTTCCCGAACACTTCCCGCAGAAAGCCCCTCTCGCTAAGAAAGAGGTCGCCAGAACCCCCCTCTTCGAGCGCCAGCCCCCCCTCCCCTTTCGAGCTCAAGCTGCTCGGTCGGGGCAGGGGCAGCACCAAAAGCAATGGACGTACAACTCGGGTATCGAGTCATGAGCTCAACATTTGCGTATACTTCAAACGCCCGGGGAAGTAAGAAAACGCTTGCACGACTACGCGAAGTCCCTACTCCTGGACCCCGTTCTTGATCGACGGTTTCGCTACCCAAATTGCTTGCGCTGGGGGTCCAGCTCAGCCCCCCGTGCACCCTGCCGCAGCCGCTGAGAAAAGGGAGGTCGTTACGAGGAGTTGGACTTGAACGGATTCACATCAAGATGCGGCTGGGACAGGGGGGGAGCTGATGAGGAAGAACGAGCGGACCTGAATAATTTTCTTGAACCTGGATCGCGAGCTCAAGCACGAGGCAAGGCGTTGGGGCAGAGGTTCGTTCGCTTCTGAATGTGAGAAGCACCCAGGTTCTTGTAAGGAGGCGTGTGCCTTCCAAGAAGCCCCGCCTTCTTATATCTAAATAGATATGTAATACATCATATATAATTACACAGATACACAGATGTATATGCGCACTTCTTCTTAACATTTCGCATGGCGGTCGTTACCAAGGGGTGTGGTTCGAGCCCAGGGGAACGGTAACGCTTGGGCAGGGTGAGCATGCGAGAGCCGCAACATACCTGTCAGAAGCACAACCTGCCTTCGGGCACCAATATATGGGTGGGGTTCAGGTCCGACCCCCACGTACGATCGCCACCGTCACCAAAGAGGGGGCTGGCCCAAGTAACGACCGTCACGCGCCAGAGAACCAATCTCTTAGAAGGCCCCCCCTTCGCGCCGCCCTCTTGCGCGCGCCGGGCAAATCCCACCAGCCCTCTGGGCGCAGGTAATCTGACGAGATTCCTCATCCCTCTTCCAAAACCCCTCTTCCCCTACGGGGAGGGGTTTACCGCTCCCCTTACCCCTCCCCTGGACTTTTTTGGGGGGTCCGCGAGGTGTCAGGGCGTCCAAAACGGCTTCGGCGAGGAAGCCAAACTCATTTGTTTTACTAAGGTTTTGGCCCCACGTTGGCCTCTTTTGGGGGGGGCTTGGTTTTACTAAGGTGTTGGCCCCATTTTGGCCTTTTGGGGGGGCGGGCTGAACATTATACAACCTCCTCCTTTAATCGATGGCCTTCAAGATGGCCCCAAGAGGCCTTCCAGGACTCCCAAGAGGGCCCCAAGAGAGCCCCAAGAGGGCCCCAAGATGGCCCCAAGACCCCCAAAAGAGCCCCAAGAGAGCTCCAATACCCTCCCAAAGAGCCCCAGGAGAGCTCCGAGAGGCGATTTTGAGGGCTCCTCGGAGGAGCCGAAATCGAGGACCCCCCATCTTTTGATCGATGCTCTCCTAGATGGCCCCACCAGGCCTTCCAGGGCACCAGCCGCAGCACCAGCAGAGGCAGCAACAACATTAGCAGCACCACCAGCAGCAGCAGCAGCACCAGGGATCACACCCTTTGGATCCCTCCACCTCCTCCTCCTCTTCCTCCTCCTCTTCCCCTCGCCCCCACGCTGCCCCCAGGGATGGCCCGAAGAGGCCTTCCGCGGCCACCCCCTTGCTCCCAGAGATCTCTCGGTTCATCCTGGTTGCTCGCTTTGTTTCCCTAGATGTGTCCCTTCGTCCCTTTTCCCGTCAACTCTCGTGGGCACGGCTTCTAAATGTGCTGGCGGGGATATTTTTTTGGCTCGCGAGCGACGCGGGCAGCCGCGCCGTCAAACAGGTCGTGAAAGCACAGGCCAGGCACAGGCAGCGCGCGGAAAAGGGCCACAACGGTGGCGAGAACAACGCAACGGAAGCGAAACGAACGAGAGACACACGAAAAGAGAGCGGGACGAACAGACGGACGGTAACGGTAGGAGAAGGACAGAAGAAGCGAAAGAAGCTGCGCGCCGACAATCTAAGGACGACACAAGGCACAAGGCCTGGACCCCCCTGGCGGCGGCGAGGCAGGCCTTCCTTGGCGAGGAAGGACGCTCGGCGGACGCCGATGGGATCGCCCACGAATCGTCCACAACCGAATCGAACTCAAGTCGCCGCGCCCAGCCCTGGGCCGGCCCCGGCCGATGCTGGCGAACCGACCCGATTCACATGGCATCGGAACCACGGGCCTCCGCCAGCGCATCGAACCGCATCGAGATCGGGTCGTGGGCGGCCTTGCGGGCCGGGCGAAACGGGGGGATAGCAAAGGGGGGGTTTGAGAACCAGCTCGCGTAGCTGATTTTCCTGGCGCCTCCCGGCGCCTGGAGGCGCCCACGTATCGAGGAATGGGCCCCTCGGTGGGGCCGAAACCAGCTGGATGCAGCAAATTTCGTAACCCCCCCTTTCCCAATCCCCCCCTTTCGCCCTGCCCGAGCCTTGCCTGGGGCCCCCCCCGCTGCAACTGTGAGGCGGGCCTTGGCGAGGAAGGCGGGCGCCCCTTCTACGGGCGCCGCGCCCTGCCCCGCGCCCGCGCCCGCGGCCGCCAGCGCGACGAAGCTGCCGGGGCGCGCGGCGAGGCCAGCGGCGAGGGCGGCCGCGACCTGGCGCGGGGGGCCGCCGGGGAGGGGGCGGAAGGCGGGGGCCACATGCGAACCCTGCCCTTGTCCCCCCACGATTTCTGGGGGGGAGGGCGGGGTTCTGGGAGCGAAGTGAACCCCGCCCTCTCCCTCAGAAATCGTGGGGGGACAAGGGCAGGGTTCGCATGTGGCCCCTTAGGACGGCGGGCGGGGGCAGACCTCATCGGGAAGCGGCGGGGCTTCTCAGAGGCCCTCGCGCCCGCTGAGAGGTCTTAGGATTGAGTCGGGCGTGTCCCCCGTACAAGGCGATGTTCGACGCTTGTTTTTTTTTGTTTTTTTAAAAAAAAAAAAAAAATCCAAAATGAAAATACAGTAATCCCCAGACTATTGTTTGACTATTCTTTTATATTCCTCCTGTAGAGGGACGGGCCCGACTTGATCTTAGGAGCCTTCTCTGAGGAAGTGGGCGGCTTCTCAGAGGGCCGGAGGGCTCCTGAGAAGCCCCACCGCCTTCTGAGAAGGCCTGCCTCCTCTCGCTGCCCCCCGGGATCGCCGCCGACCCAGGCTGACTCGCGAGCGGCGAGCGTGTCCAGATCCACGCCCTCGCGGCCGGAAGTCAGGGGCGCGATCCCGCGGATGCGGCCCAGGGGTCCGGGCTGCGAGGACGTGGATGCTGATCTGCTTCCCGCCCACGACTGGCCCCCACACCCCGAGAGGCTCGGAAGCCTCGAGCCTGAGGCGCTGCTGGCGGCACCTATGTGGCCTTCATGGGGGGAGGTTGGGGGGCCGGGGGCCGTCACATCACTGCTCGGGATGGAAGCACCGTCCTGGGGAGGGGGTCCAGACCTCCTCGGGCCATCGCTGGAGTCCATCTTGCAAACGGCGACGTCGGGGGAGGAGGAGGAGGAGGAGGAGGAGGAGGAGGAGGAGGAGGAGGAGGAGGAGGAGGAGGAGGAGAAGGAGGAGGAGGAGGTGGAGGAGGAGGAGGAGAAAGAAGACCCCCTCCCCCTCCAACGTATGGTGGTGGTGGTTGAACACAAGCCCATCAACGCAGGCGGAGGCCTCCGACTCTTCCAAGAAAAAAGAAAACGGAGATGCGTCTCAACGTTCGGCCTGCAGGTCCTCAGGAAGGGAGGGGAGAGCTTGGCGGACCACGTGCTGACAAAAGCACGACGTCCAACACCGCTCAGTATCCCACGGCCACCAGAATTCGCGCAGAAGCTCGCTCCAAAGCGAGAGGTCGCAAAGGGTCTGAGGATGCACGTTCGATCCCGTATCCATTCTGAAAGCCACCAGGGGACAACCTGAATCTTCCAGAGACCATCGTGATCCCACTGGAAGATTTAGAACGCGCCAGGAGCTGACAGAGCACGCTGAAGCTGCCAAGACATTCCAGAAGACATCGCGGACCGCGGACCCAATCGGACCTCCACGCCCACCAAGGGAGCCCCCCGGACCTTCCAGAAAGCCTCGAGAGCCACGCGGATCTAAACCGCCAAACAGCCCAGAAACCCTGACGGACCCGCTGGATCCTTCCAGAAGCCCTCGTGGGTCCTCAACTGCTCGTCATCCAAAGCGCCCTTCTTGAACCGGACACTCTGAAGCGAATTAGATGTTCAGAGACCCTTGCAGCCCGACCCCCTGCGGCGCTCACGGGGGCCTGCCAGAATCTGCCACACACTCAAGCGGCCCCTGGCGCTGGAGCGCGCCTTCTGGACATAATCGCATGTTCATCTGGACCCTCCCGGATGCAAATGGAACCTAGAAGCCAGTCGAACTTCCAGGAACAGTCGCAGGGCACACACACACACACACGCACCCAGAACCCCAAGGAGGCTTCCAGAGACCCATGTGGAGACCACTGCAACCCAGCTGCAGCACAGCAGGACTTGTCAGAGACCCTTGTGGACCCACTGAGAACGTGAAAAACCGTCCAGAGACCAGAAGCCGCGGGACCTACTAGGACCCTCAATAGCCAAACTCCCCAACTACGAAAACACTAACTTAACAAACAGCTGGCAGATGGCCGCAGAAGGCGCCCATCAGCACCTTGGTGCCTATGCCAGAGCCAACAAGATTACGAAAAGAGTCTTACATCAACCATAGGTTCATTCAAACGACATGGGGCTACTGGTAAGACCAGGGGCAACAGCGTGGTTAACATTCGATGCGACGCTCGCGGCGGTAGATGCAATCGAAAGAACACTTGTAGTGGAAGCTTGCCTAGAACCAAAAAACCTTGACAAGTTGGCACAGGGGGGGAGGGGCAAAACACGGGGGGGGGCGGGTCCAAAACATCGAGCACCCCTGGAGGACTGGAGGGCCCCCCCCCCTGGGCACTGGCCTGCCCCTTAAGAGAGGAGGGAGGGGGGCGAGCCCCCCTCAACAAGAGTCGGGGGTTCGAACTAGGGGAGAGCCTCCCCTGTCCAATGAGGGGGGGTGGATTCGAACAGGCCCCCCCCTCCTAGTTGCAAAGGGGGAGGGGTTCGAACCAGAGGGGCGGCGCCCCCCCCCCCGCCCGTCCAAGGAGAGTGGGAGTTCGAACCAGGGGGTGGGGGCCTTCTCCTTTGACTTGCAAAGGGGGGAGGTTCGAACCAGGGCGCGGGGGGACCCCCCCTGAATTGCAAGGGGGAGGGGGTTCGAACCGGGCCCCCCTTCCCCCCCACAGTACGTGTCATTGCCGTCGCCGGTCCCCGCCGCCGTCGCTGTCGCCGCCGTCGCCGTCGCCGTCGCCGTCGTCGTCGCCGTCGCCGCCGTGGCCGTCGCCGTCGCCATCGCCGTCGCTGTCGCCGTCGCCGCCTTCGCCGTCGCCGTCGTCGTCGTCGTCGTCGCCGTCGTCATCGTCGTCGTCGTCGTCGGTCGCTGGTCACCGGTCACCGTCGCCGTCGCCAACGCTGTCGCAATTGCCGTCGCTGTCGCCGTCGCCGAGGCCGTCGCCGTCGCCAGCGCCGTCGCCAGCGCTGCCGTTGCCGTCGCCGTTGCCGCCGACGCCGCCGCCGCCGTCGTCGTCATCGTTGTCGTCGTCGTGGTCGATGTCATCGTCGTCGCTGCCAGACAGTGCCCGCGCCAGCGCTCGCCTTCGTCGGTTGCAGGGGGGGGCACCTGTGCGCATTGTCGTCGTCGTTGTTGTCGTCATCGCCGTCGCCGTCGCCATCGCCGCAGTCCCCTTTGCCGTCGCCGTCGCCGTCGCCATCGCCGCCGCCGTCGCCGTCGCCGTCGCTTTCGCCGTCCCCGTCGCTGTCGTCGTCGTTCTCGGCGTCGCCGTCGCAGTCGCCGCCGCCGCCGCCGCCATCGTCGCTGTCATCTTCGTCGTCGTCATCGTCGTCCCACCGTTGTCGTCGTCGTCGCCGACGTCGTCGTTGTCGGCTTCGGCGTCGGCGTCGGCGGCGGCATCGTCGTCGTATTCGTCGTCATCGTCGTCCCAACGTTGTCGTTGTCGTCGCCGTCGTCGTCGTTCTCAGCGTCGGCGTCGGCGTCGGCGGCGGCATCGTCGTCGTCATCGTCATCGTCGCTGCCCAGCGGCGCCAGCGCCGGCGCTCGCCGTCGTCGGTTGCAGGGGGGGCCCACCTGGCTCGAACCCCCCCCCTGCAACTCAAAGAGGGAAATCCTGTGCGCGTCACCGTCGCCGTCGCCGCCGTCGTCGCCTTCGCCGTCGCCATCGCCGTCGTCGTCGTCGTCGCCGTCACAGTCGCCGTCGCCGTCGCCGTCGTCGTCATCGTCGACGTCGTCGTCGTCGCCGTCGTTGTCGTCGTCGGTCGCAGTCGCCGTCGCCATTGCCGTTGCCGTCGCCATTGCCGTCGCCGTCGCGGTCGTCGTCGTCGTCATCGTCGACGTCGTCGTCGTCGCCGTCGCCGTCGTCGTCAGTCACCGTCGCCGTCGCAGTCGCCGTCGCCATGGCCGTCGCCGCCGCCGCCATCATCGCCGTCGCCGTCGCTTTCGCCGTCCCCGTCGCCGTCGCCGTCGCCTTCGCCGTCGCCGTCGCAGTCGCCGCCGCCGCCGCCGCCATCGTCGCTGTCGTCTTCGCCGTCGTCATCGTCGTCCCACCGTTGTCGTCGTCGTCGCCGTCGTCGTCGTCGTTCTCGGCGTCGGCGTCGGCGTCGGCGTCGGCATCGTCGTCGTCGTCATCGTCGCTGCCCAGCGGCGCCAGCGCCAGCGCTCGCCGTCGTCGATTGCAGGGGGGGCCAACCTGGTTGGACCCCCCCCCTGCAACTCAAAGAGGGGGATCCTGTGCGCATCTCCGTCGCCTTGACCGCCGTCGTCTTCGCCGTCGCCATCGCCGTCGTCGTCGCCGTCGCCGTCGCCGTCGACGTCGCCGTCGCCGTTGCCGTCGCCTTCGTCGTCGACGTCGCCGTCGTCGTCGTCGTCAACGGCGTCAACGTTTTCGTCGTTGTCGCCATCGCCGTCGTCGTCGTCGTCGTCGTCGTCGTCGTCGTCGTCATCGTCACTGCCTGGCGGCGCCAGCGCCGGCGCGAAGGGAGAGGGCTGGGCATTTGCAACGAGTAGAACTCATCAAAGCCGATGTATTTGTACCTTGTGTTTTGGATCTTCCTTCGAGGCAAAAATGCAACCGAACGCTTGCATTTTGAAACAAAATCCACTGGAACTGTGGCGAGCAGATAGAAGGTTTATTCAAGCTCCACTCCGCAGGGCGTCGGCCCAGCGCGCAGATGCTCCGCAGCGCGAACGACCTCCACAAAAACAAACTCTCTCCTCCCTCCCCCACTCGGCTTTCGGGTGGTAACTCGTGCCTATGGCGGCCGTGTGGGACGATCCGGGCAACCCCAGAACGCTCTCGGCAGCATCCCACGGCTGGAGAACCGCCGAGCATCACTGCAAACGCCCGAACACCTCCCCCGAGAACCCCCTCCTCCTCCCGCCCCACCCTCCTCCTCCTCCTCCTCCTCCTCCTCCTCCTCCTCCTCCTCCCTCCTCCTCCTCCTCCTCCTCCTCCTCTCCTCCCTCCTCCCTCCTCCCTCCTCCCTCCTCTCCTCCTCCCTCCTCCCTCCTTCCTCCTCCCCCTCCTCCACTCTCCCTCCTCCCTCCTCCCTCCTCCTCCTCCCTCCTCCCTCCTCCCTCCTCCCTCCTCCCTCCTCCTCCTCCTCCTCCCTCCTCCCTCCTCCCCTCCCTCCTCCCTCCTCCCTCCTCCCTCCTCCCTCCTCCTCTCCCCCGTCCTCCCTCCTCCTCCTCCCCTCCCTCCTCCCTCCTCCCTCCTCTCCTCCTCCTCCCTCCTCCCTCCTCCCTCCTCCCTCCCTCCTCCTCCTCCTCCCCTCCTCCCTCCTCCCTCCTCCCTCCTCCCTCCTCGCTCCTCCTCCTCCTCCTCCTCCTCCTCCTCCTCCTCTCCTCCTCCTCCTCCTCCTCCTCCTCCTCCTCCTCCTCCTCCTCCTCCCTCCTCCCTCCCTCCCTCCCTCCCTCCCTTCCCTCCCTCCCCTCCCCCTCCCTCCCTCCCTCCCTCCTCCCTCCCTCCTCCCTCCTCCCTCCCTCCCTTCCCTCCCTCCCTCCTCCAGCGGCTGCGACCAGCCCAGACACGACGCGCCGGCGCTGCTTCTGCCAGGAGGCTCCGGGCGCCATGGCGCGGGCGGCCCCCGGGGGTTCGGAGGGAGCGGCCCGCGGCGTGCCGGCCGTCCCCCCAGGAGGCCAGCGGCGGCCTCCTCCAGCTCCTCCTCCTCCTCCTCCTCCTCCTCCTCCTCCTCCTCCTCCTCCTCCTCCTCTTCCTCCTCCTCCTCCTCCTCCAACTCCTGCCAGCCCCTTCGCCCGAGGAGGTTGGGTAGGGATACGGCGAGGGCAGGGGATGCGCGGTAACGTGCCGTCGCTCGGACGTCCATATCCCGTGCATGTTTGCGGTTTCGTGCGTGTTTTCTTTTGCTCGATGGTCCATGATAGTCCTCGATGGTTCTCGCCGAAAGAAATGCACACGTCCGAGCGATGCCAAGGTGAGGAGGCGCGGTGAGGGTGCAAGGGCCTCGGAGGGCCCTGTTGGCGCTCTCGAACAGAGCTGGCCAGAAAAAGTCGCCAGGGATGGGCCGAAGAGGCCGGGATGCAAGGGCTGCCTCGGACGTTTGCTCATCCTTGCTATGCGACTTCACTGCACGGCGAGTGCATTGCATGAGGAACCACTGGATAAGGAGTCCAAGGTCTGGAAGCCAGTGGAACACCAACTGAGGCTTAGCCATGGATACCACCGCCCTCACCAGATGAGGAATCAACCAGGGCCTGAAGCCTCCTGGGCGCATTCCTTCACGAATCGACAGGCTCCCAACCCAGGCATCCGACGAAATGTTTCCCCAAATAGTGCTTGCACTGAAGGGCTTCAACCGGATTCTGAAAGCTTTAAAGCTTTGGCGAACAAGGCTGGCCGATTTCGATAGGCGGCCGGGTTCCCGGGATCTCGTTCCCGGATTCCCGAGTCCCGGTTGCTGGTTCCGGACCGACTTGGGGGGGGGGGGGGGGCGTGGGGTTCCCTGCGTTCCAGTTTCGGTTTCCTTGCTTCCAATGTTCCTGGTCGACCTCATGATCGATCTCATTATCGATGTCACCATCCATCTCACTCGGTCGATCATGCTATCGATGTCACTGCAGATCTCATTCAATTGATCTCAGGACCGATTGAACCATTCATCTCACGCAATCCATGTCGTTATCGATGTCATTACCGATCTCAATCGATCTCACATCATACTATCGATCTCACTACCAAGCTCACCATCGACTTTACTATCGATATGTTCCAATCGATATGACCATCGATCTCACTATCGATATCACGATTGGTCCTACTATCGGTCTCACTATGAATGTCATTGTCGAATCGACCCAAACCCACCTCACTATCGGTCTCACATTCGATCTCACTATCGATCTTACGGCCGATCTCACTCAATCGATCTCACTATCGATATCGCCACTGTCGATATCACCATGGACCTCACTATTAGTCTCAGTGTCGATGCCACTATCGATCGCACTATAGATCTTGCAATCGATGCCACTATCGATCGTACTATCGATTTCGCCAATCGGTGTCAAGCAATGTAGACTGTTCGGCAATGCCACGCAACGCTAAGCCATGCAGAACATGAGTTCTTGGGATAAGTCAGCATGGGAGTGCATTGCTCCTCCCCTTTTCGGCCTGCCGCATCGCATTGGTATGGTTCCTGGGTTCCCGACCGATCTGACGATGTCAATATCGGCGCCACTACCGATGTCACCATCGAACTCACAATCGATCGCAGAACGATCTCTGAACCGATCGCACAAGCGATGCCACTATCGGACACACTATCGATTCCACTATCAATCTGACAATCGATCTCACTGTCGATATCACGACTCACGTACTTCAATACATCCCACTATCGATATTACGATTGAGTCCACCATCGGCGTCACTGTCGATCTCACTATCGATCGCACTATCGATGTCATTCAGTCGACCTCACTATCGATCTCATTACCCATCACACGATCAATCTCACGATCCATGTCACTATCGATCTCACGCAATCGATATTACGGTCGATCTCACTACCGATCTCACCATACACTATCGACCCTGGCATCAAGGAAACGCAACGCTTGGCTCGGCGTCGCCCTGGCATCGGCGGGTTCATGTCTCTCGCACGCCCATGCAGCTTCGCCCGCACGCATCACTCGAACACGAAACCGAAACAGATTTCCCGGTGGGGGGTCTCCGTTTAACTGCGATCTCAACCCTCAACCTCCGATATGTATACATGTATACATAAGGAGAACGGTAGATAGAAAGAAAGAACCCAACAACTATGATAAAACAGGGCAGAGAGAGAGAGAACAAGAGAAAGATAAGTGCGTGTATGCATACACAGGTGGAATGAAAAGGTAAGTACAGAGAGTGATACTATGAAGAGAAAAAGGGAAATATAACAAAGAGAGAGGAATATATAATAACTAGACTGGAGTACAATGTATTTCCGAGCAAGACTAGGGCGGCAGGAAGGCCGATCGAGGCACCTGCGAAAAGTTCAGAAACCCACGGATTGTGGGGGATCTGGTCGTGCTGGCCCCAGGGCACAACCACGGCCCCCGAGGGCTGAAATGCTGTGCTTCGCATGGAAGAAACGGGTCCTTCCACCAGGACGAGGTCTTCGTCCTTCGTCGTCTTCTGACAGCCCCAGGGGCCGTGGAGGACCCCGAGAGCCCGAGAACGGCGAAGACACGCCAGGACCCGATCCCCTCAGGACCCGCTTCCCCATTGGCGACGTGCGGAGCTCTCTTCCTCGAGCCTGCTGGCCCAGGCACGGCCAGGCAGGCCCTCCCGAGCGGAAGGGGCCTCTCCGACCACGCCGACCACCGCGGGGGGAAACATCGAGCCTGCCATCGGCCATACGTCGCCAATTAATTAGCGGCACCCGAGTTAAGCCGATCTTGACGGCCCCCAAGGTCCTCGAAACCCGGCGCGACTTTCTTCTCGAATCGCCACCGAGTCCCTGGAGATCTGCGAGGGGTCCTGGGGAGTCTCCGGCGGGCCCTGGAGGCCTCCGGCACCAGGAGCTGCCAGAAGTAACCTCGGCGCTGAAGCACACTGGAGGCCCAGATAGCTCGCGGTGTGCTTCTCGCAAGCCGCGGCCCAAGGAATCGGGAGCGGCTATAGAGGGGGGTGTCCAAGAGGGAGGGGTGCAAGTCATGGCCGGCGGCACGTGCGCGGCCCAACGGGGGGGCCGGGAACGTAATGAAATAAGAAGAGGCGCCCTGAGATCAGGGGAAATATAATGGCCCCCGCCATGATATCCACCCCCCCTGGTCATCACCCCCCTCTTTTCCGCCCCCGGAGGAAGGCCCGCGACCCATGGGCGCAACCGTTCGTCCCACAGCCGTCTTTGATGCCCCCCAGATGGCCGGCGGAGGCCGAAACTCAGGCGAGGAGGCGCGGCCGCAGCAATGAGTCCGCCACGAGTCCAGAGGCCGGCCGCTGCCCGCCGCTGGGTCGAGGGGCGCAGGGAAGGCGGCCGGCTGGCCGCGGGGATCGGCCCGGAACTGCCCCACGGGTGGGGGCGCCGTCCCTACAGGTGTGCACCGCGCGCCCTGGGCCGTGGCGGCGGGGGGGAGGGCGGGGAGAGAGGGAGGGGGAGGGGGGGCGGGGGGCAAGCGCGGGAGGGAGGGTGGAGGGGGAGGGGCAGGGAGCTCAGGTTGCTGCCCTGCCTCTCTGTTGCCTCATGCCTTCTGGCCTGGACAGCTTCCGTGGTCCGTTCTGCCTCGGAGCGTCCGCCGAACGCCCGGCGGTAGGGCAAGCTCCGACAGGGGGCGCTCACAGAGGAGTTGTCGGCCAGCCCCAACCAGGAATCGAGAAGAGAGAAGGGATGAGAAGAGAACTAAGGAAGAGGAAGAGAGAGAGAGAGAGAGAGAGCGGGGGGAGAGGGAGATAGAAGGAGAAAGAAGGCGAAAGAAGGATCAAGAAGGAGGGAGGGGAAGGGGGAGAGAGAGGGGGGGGCAAGAGGAAATAGAAGAGAGAGAGAGAGAGAGAAACACAAAAAAGAAAAGCAAACAGAAAGAGACAGAGAGAGAGAGAGAGAAAGAGAGAGCGAGAGAGAGAGATAGGAAGAGAGAGGCAGAAGCTGACCCGCCTCGCGACGCGGCAGTGCAACAAACACACGGCGCATGGATGTTGGTAACGTTCGGCCTCTGGGCCCCGAGGCCCTACGACCTCAGAACGAAAAAGGCTGATCTTGGGGAAGGGCTCGAGACCTCTGGGGGCCGGCGCTGCGGACACACGACGCGACGTCGGGCAGCCCCTGACGGTCTGTGGGGCGCACGGCCGGCGCGAGGAGCCTGGCCGCCGCCTCTTGTCCAGATCGAAGGGGGAGAGGAGGAGGAGGAGGAGGAGGAGGAGGAGGAGGAGGAGGAGGAGGAGGAGGAGGAGGAGTCGGGAGTCGGGAGTGCCAGGACGAAGTCCAGATGGGTGCGGGGCCAGACCACCGCCACTAAGGCCCCTTATGGGCCCCAGTCTTCCTCTCGAGCTCGGCCTTACTGTAGGCCTTGGGGAATAGACCCCGCTCGATTCGGGAAAGATATACGGCACGGGTATCGGTCACCACATTGGGGCACAACTTACCCAGGCCTAACAATTGTTGATCCCCGTACATCCCACAGGTGGCGCAGAACCAGACCCCTAGGTCCTGGTGGAGGCGCAGCATGTGGGGGGGGTGGGTCCACCCCCCAGCAATGTGCAACCTCGCCCCAGCTGGGAGTCCTCTAAGGGAGCCATCAATAGACACTAAGCGGAAACACTGGGAACCTCTCCAAGATCTAGCAAGCGAGATTGACGCGGACCCACGGCACCGACGGCACCTGCGGCCTGTATCATCCAAGGCGTGGCTAGACTCGAAAAACGACACAGTGTCAGCAGACGGTGGCGGCGGGGGTGTGGGAGCGGGGGCCACAGGGTCGGGGGAGAGGGCGGATCCTCCACCAGTGCTCTCGCCGACCGCGGGGCCACTGGGGCCCGTGCCCCCCCGCCGCCTAAATCTACCTACCTGAAAACCATCGCTCAGAAGCTTTTCCTCGGCGGCCATCGCGTCAAGCGATGATCGGAGGATTCGCATTCTGATCCAGAAAACTTCTTGCTCAAGAACCAGGATCGGGGTGCGGGCGCTGGCGGGCAAACGGGCGCGGTCAGCGCCATAACAAGCCAGGACGTCCGCGAACACGTTGCCATGCACGAGCCATCGTTCGGCTTTGCCAGCAACAATATCTGTGGCTTGCATATGACTGTGGGTGAAAAGGACTACGACGTGGCCCCGCTCGCGAGTCTTCATGACCTCGCCGATCTGAGCCCACAAATCACTGTTCTCACCCTGAGGCTGGCGGTCACGGGCCGCGTGCCAGCCATCAAAAACAGCTTTGTTGTCGGTAACGTAGATGAGGAAGTCAGATGCCCACCGAAGGGCACAAAAGAAAGTGAACAACTCGCCACGAGGAACCGTCTGTTCGGGCCCTGGCAGGACCCCTGACAGCGTGCTCGAGAGGACCATCGAGGACTCGTCTTCGAACTGAGCCAAGCCGACGCCAACGCGCCTGAACAGCGGGCTGGAGGAGTCGGCACCCCCGCTGGCGTCCCCGAACAGGAGAATGGGGCGAGCGGCCGAACCTGGGCCGAACCCCTCCGACAGCACGTCATCGTGGGAGCCCCACCAGCTCGCGTCCGTCGGCGGCGGCGTCACCTGCATGCGCCCAGCTGGTAGCAGCCCGCGCAGCCACAGCGCCTCCTCGGCCTCATGTTGGGCGCGTGCCCGTGGGTAAAGGAAATCCGACTGTGTGTAGGCCTCCTCCCCGCAGTTGGCATCGCAGCCCCAGATGCGGTGGAAGAGGGTCTCTGGCGCGCGCTTGCAGCGAGCGCAAGTCGGGTCGACCGTGACCCGACGCGCCGCCTCGGCCCGCCGCTGCCTTGGCCAGCTGCCGCCCGCGGCGACGGAGACCAGGAGCTCCGCCAAGCGGCGCCCGCTCGGCGCCTGCTCCAGCTGGCGGAGCAGCTGCCGCATGGAGGTGAGCTCCGTGCCGTCGCCGAGGCCGCTCCCGCCGAAGTGCCGCTCCGCCTGCTGCCAGAGGAGAGCCTCGGAGGCGCGGTCGAAGTCCACGAAAAACTGCTTGAACCCATTGAGCGCCATGATATCCGGGTAGCACTCCTCGGGGAAACGCCATTCAGTGCCGTCGGCCATGACCCACAAGGTGGGCGTCGTGGGGTCCCATTGCCGCTCCAGCAGGTACAGTATCACCGCAGACATGGGACCCCGAACGTGCCTGGAGCGCCGGCCTGCAGGAACCGAACGGAGGCGGCTGACCACCGACTGCCAGACACGATGAACGCCGCCTCGAATGCGTGGGGTGGTGAACCACTGCTTCAGCCAGTATTCCAAGCACTCGTGGGGAAGCTTGATGCCTGGGTCCTGCAGCGGCTCCTTGATGGCCATGAGGGTGGTCTTGCATAAGCCACGACCTCCGCCGCTCAAGACGGCGGCCAAACTCCTTCTGAAATACTCCATGTGGGTGCCGAACGTGCCGAAGATCTGGTGACCGTAGTTGCCAGCGGCAGCGGCGCTGGTGCGCTCAAGCCTGCTCGTGACGATGAAGGTCCTGGCAGCTCTGGCGTAGCGGCGGATCTTGGAGTGAAGCTTCGCATGCTTGGCAAATCTCTTGCGACGGCTCTGTCTAGCGTGGCGTGTGCCGCCACCCTGATCAATGCCAAGGAAAGGAGCCTGACGAACTGCACGCACCAAGAACCCACGAGCGTGCAAACGGCGGGAGATCTCAACCGCATCGCCGTGGACCGAGCACACGATGACTGACTTGGGCGAGACGTCCAGCTTCCACTTAGCCATCTCGTCGCACGTGTCTGCCAAGCATGCCGTAACCTTGGTGCGGAGGTGGCTGCTGGGTCCAATCATGCGCTGGGATAGGTCGTCCACCCAAATCCTGTGGCTAAAAGAGACATGGACTGCGGAAATCTTCGCGAGCACAAAGTGAACCATACATTTAGCAAATCGAGTGCCTCCTCGGAGGCCCTGAATGATGGAGTGCTCGACGGTGAAGGGGTCGCACACGGCGCCAAATTGTTCCAGCGTGCGTGGTGCCATGCACTGGGCGACCTCGAGAAAGAGCACCGCGGGGGGGTATCCTAAACGCAATGCCGCGCCTAGGAGTAGGCCCCACTGGATGGCGTCGTAGAAACCCTTCACGTCCAGCATGCCGCGGGCCGAGGCGAGCTTCATGGCAGCGGCCACCTCGTCCCCCAGCGCGCGGAAGAAAGCCTCCTGGAGAGAGGCGTTGCCCAGGACGGCTGCGTCCCAGCCCTCCTCGGCGACGCTGGCCCATTCCCGTGCGTGCACCTCGCGCACGAGAGACCAGAGCCTCCCCATGAGGGATGTCAAACCAATGATTCTGTCCCCTTCGGTCTTCTTCGGGAGAAGCTTCCCGATGATCAGCTGCGTCTGCTGTGGCCAGACCAGCGCCGCCCCCAGGTTGTTGAAGAGGGCCGCCAACTCGTCCAGCCCAGCAGCTGGGACACGCTCGATGTCCGCGGGGGATAGGCGGTCGCAGCCCATCCCCGTCCTGCACTTCATGCGCCTAGCGGCGGCGTGCACCTCAGCACCTGTGATGGGTGGGAGGGGCTCGTCGCGCGCCGCCACTCGTACCTCGTCGACGACCGTCTCCAGAGCCTGAGGGTCGTGAGGATGAGCGTTCCAGATGGCCTTCCACTGGCGCGCCTTGGCGTCGAGGATGTCCATAGGGTGCACTAGGGTCGAGCTGCCAACGACGATCTCTTGGCGGGGGAGGGCGTCCTCGCGCAGCGAGCGGTACACCGCGCCGCTGGCCCTGGGGTCGGTGAGCCACGCCTTGAAGTCGCTGAGGGACTCCCTGATGGCGCGGCGGTGGGCCCTCTGCTCGATGCGCCCTGCAAGTCCCTGGAAGGCCTCCAGCACGCGGGCCGTGCAGCCACCGACGTTCAGCAAGAGACCAATCCACTCGTCAAACTTGGGCTCGTCGGCCCTGAGCAAACTGGCTACACCTTCAGGTAGGTCGCTCGTGAGATGCTGGCAGGCACGATGTAACTGGACCAGCTGCTTCACTCCGTTGTCACGACCGAGATGTCGCACAGTCTGAAGTAATATGGATGAGACTCTCTTCCACCAAGCTGTCACTTGATCCCTGAGTGGGACCTCGCGCTGCCGACCACTGTGGCTGACGGGCTCGATCACGAAACTGCAGCCCGCAGCCCTGCACGTGCCGACAACGGCGGGCAACTGATGGTGCGAGAGAATGGCCTGCTCGAGAGTGGAAACCCACTGGCCGTACCACAAGCTCGCAAACTCCCTGTGCTGAGAGTTGAGGCAAAACACTACGGAGGAGGAGGAGGGGGGGTGAGGGTCCCACGGGGGCGTGCCCTTGTTTAGCTCTCGGCACCGTGCCCAAACCTCAGCTGGGATGTGAAACGATGGCTCAACCTTTGACGTAGGGACTTCCTTAAAGGGGGGGGTTAAAATCGAGACGCAACCTTTGGCTGGGGGGGGTGGACCCTGAAAGACACTATTACTGCAAGCTGGCTCAGACGTGTCACGAGAGGTGACGATGCTGACGGCCGACGGCTCGCTTTTGCTCTGGACCTGACAGAACGCGTTTTCAGAAGCCCACGGGTCCTCCTCATCAGGCCATTGGTCGGCCTCGGGAGGCTCGTCACAGAAATCAACAGAAACTGACATGGATTGGCTGCCAGATTGATCTTGGGAGCTCGTCTGGCCCCCGACATGATCTCCGAACAGCACCTGAATCTTTTCACATCTGGCGGCTCGGGCAAGCTCCGCTTTGGCTTGCTTGTCACGCTTGGCAATAGACGATTTGGAACCAAGAGAGGGCAGCGTGCACGGGCGAGCAACCTGGGGCAGGCGGCTGGAGCAGACGAGCCTGCGCGTCAAGAGCTGGTGCCCTTGGCTGCGGAAAGTCATGGAAAGGCCGATGGGCGGCCGCCATGGAATGTCCAGCCGTGGCTGGAGAGAAATGATGTACGGGATGGCGGCCTCGCTGACGATTGCATAGTCCAGCATGCTCCCCTGCTTGCTGGCGTCGCAGGTGTAGGAGACCCCCTCAGGAATGATGATGTGGCCGAACACCTGGTCCAGGAAACCAGACGCGATGACGGCGGGCGGCTCAACATTCCAGTCGCCCAGGCAAATCCACGGCAGCCGAAGGCTGCTGAGCAAGGCGCCAAGACGATAGAAACGAGCCAAATTGCGGCCTGTCAGGCCGACCCCTGTGAAGCCGTAGCAGATGCACAGGATGAACGAGAAACCGTTGCAGTGGATGACGGTAGCTACGAACCCGTCGAGCGCCGAGAACCCAGGGGCCCGCAAGGCCGTAGTGGATCTGGCCTCGTGTAGCGTTTCCACATGAAGGTGCCCCTTTGAGAGAAGCCACTCTCCACCTTCGTTGGCTTTGTCAATAGTACTAAGAGACTGATGGCGTCCGCTGGGTCGAGCCGCGTTCGCCAGGAGACGAAGACCAGCACCACGGGCGCGAGCATCCCACTTGCGCAGCTGTGACTCAGGAATATGAGTCTCTGCAACCCCAATGTACTCGTGCGTGGCAGTGATGGAATCTAAGAAAGACCATGCTGAATCGCCCATGGTCGTGATGTTGCTGAAGAAAATACGACTGACAGCTGGGGTGACCTCGGCCGTCGACAAAACTGGCGCCTGGGGCTGCGGGGTCGATGCCGCTGCCACAGGGGGGCTGCTGGCAGCCCCAGGCGCAACCCGTCATGCCTTGGCCTTGGGTTTGGCGGCACCGCCCTTGGCTCCGCCCTTGGCCCCACTGCCTGCTGCACGCTGCCCGTCCGCCGCCGCCGCAGCCGCGAACTTGGCAGCTGAGAGTCGCTGCGCCTCCTGCTGCACCGCCGCCTCGTGCTCGACCGAGCTTGCGCCTGTGGAGCCCGACGAGCTGGCTGAGCCGCCCTCGCCGCCGCCGCCAGCGGTCCCGCCAGGCTGCGCCTCCGAGCCGCCTGCGGGCTGAGGGGCGGCACCGGCTGCGCCCTGGGCCGCCGAGCCGTCCTGCGCACGGCGCTTCTTGGTCATGCGCTCCGAGATGGCTGCCTTGACCTCCGCTGCTTTGCGCAGCCACTCCTGCACCTCCGCGTTCTTGCTCGAGAACAGGGCATGCATCTCCTCGAGCTCCTGCTTGATGTTGCGCAATTGATTGCGCTCTGACTCCTCGACCTCGACCTGGTCAAGATCGTCGAAGAGCTTCGTGTCCCACTTCACCTCGAACGCGGGCCGCTCGCCGCTGGTGGTCGAAACGTCGACCCCTGCAGCCCGCGCAAGCGCCTGCGCCGCCTGCCTCTTGCCGATCTCGGCGGAGGCAAGGGCGCGCGCCGCGAGCTGCTCCTTCTCCTCGGCGGTCTGGAGGGCCGCCCTGAGGCGGTGGACGTTGGCCACCGCCTGGTCGTGCTTGTGGTTGGCGTCCTTCCAGATGCCCTCCGCCTTCGAGACCTGCATGGCCTCCGAGGGCGGCGGCGGCCGCTGGTCGCCCTTCGTCGTGAGGGCGTCGATCTTGGCCTGGAGCGACGCCCTGAGGTCCACGTCCGTGGATGGGGTGGCCTCGAGCGCTGCCTTCAGGTGGTCCACGACCGAGGGCGCCGCGGGCTTTGTGTCCTGGACCACAGGCTGCTGGTCGCGCTTCCTCGACTTGGGCGAGGGTGAAAAGAGCACCACCTTCTTCCCGCACGCACAGAAGCACTGTTGGCGGACGAGGATGTCGTTGTACTCTGCGCGTTGGCACGCGCCGCAGCGGCTCCATTGGCGGGCCGCCGTCATTGCTGAGAGAAACTGATACGCTGGCTTTGGTCGGCAGGGCGTCCGTGGGGAGGTCGGACGGCCTGCAGTGCCTCAAGCGCCCCGTGCAGGCACCAGCGCCGGCCCCAAACCTGGTTGGAGCCCAAGTGGCTTGAGAGGAGGAGGAGGAGGAGGAGGAGGAGGAGGAGGAGGAGGAGGAGGAGGAGGAGGAGGAGGAGGAGGAGGAGGGAGGAGGGAGGAGGAGGCTGGCGCCAGGCGAGCGGATTCGTGTCCATCGCCCGGGGGGGCCGACATCAGGGGCCCCAGGAGGCAGCGGATACGGATCTGCCTCGGGTCCCCCCAGGGCCCGAGACTGCCCACCTCCTGCCTGGGCCCGGCGAGATCACGGCCCGACAAAAAAAGAGAGAACGCGGCTAGCTCCGGAAACCCCTCACCGGAACAACAAAGCAGAAACGTGTAACGTTCGTTCTCGCCGCCTTCCGCCACCGCCGTTATGTTAACTATATCCGCCAGCTTCCGCCGAACATGAGGTTGGCTAGCAGTCGGTTGCGCGCAGAGAGCCCCGCCAGATCAGAGTGAGGGGGCCGAACGGTCATTCACTGTCACTGGCTGCGTGGCTGACGTGGGATTCCGCGATGCGGAGTATTGTTGTTGTTGCTGTTGCTGCTATTGTTGTTATTGATGTTGTTGTTGCTGCTGCTGTTGTTGTTGTTTCTGCTGTTGTTGTTCTAGATCTGATTATTGTTGTTGATGTTGCCGTCGTCGAGGTTGTTGTTGTTGTCGTTGTTGTGGTCGTTAATAATCATAATGATGATGATAATTATAATAATACGAATAATAATAATGATAATAATAATAATGGTAGTGCTATTAATGATACTACTACTAATGATAATAATAAGAATAACAACATATGAATACTAATAACGTTGTTGCTGCCGTTGCTGTTGTTGTTGGTGTGTTTGGTATTGTTGTCGTTGTCGTCATCGCTGTTGCTGCTGTTGCTGTTGTTGTTATTGTTGTTATTGTCGCCGTTTGTTGTTTGCTTGCTTGCTTGCTTGCTTACGTGTTTGTTTGTTTGTTTGTTTGCTGTTTGGCGTCGTCCCCCCCGCGCTCCCACCCCGCGACCCACCCGCGACCCACCCGCCACCCACCCGCGGCCCCCCCCGCGGCCCACCCTGGGACCCACCGGCGACCCACCCCGCGACCCGCCCGCAGGCCGGCGACCCACCCGCGACCCACCCCGTGACCCGCCCACCCTGCCTTCACGAGCAGATCGGCGCTGCAGACGTCCCCGCCGCCCCCATCACTCTTATCTGATGAACGAACAACACACACCCATACCCATAGGGAGGTCGGAGGGAGAAGGACTGGCTATGGGTATGTGTGCGGGTTGTCGGAGCCCTGGGGAGGCTCCCGGTCGAGCGGGGACCCCCATCCGACAACACGCACCCATGGCTCATTCCGTCCCCCCTATGGGTATGGGTGCGTGATGAACGGTCGTCACTTATCCGCGACTGCGGGGTGCTGCGCAGGTGTTCGTCCAGGAAGCCTCAGAGGGCCGTCCGGGTAGTCCCAGCTGGCCTCAACGGGCCCCCCGAGTGGCCCAGGGCGGTCTCGACACCCCAGCCGCGCGCCCCAGGAGCGCCGCAAGAGGCGGCTCGGGGGGCCTGTTGAGGCTAGCCTGGAAGACTGGGAGGGGGCTGTCTGTGCGCAACCAGGCGCCTTACCGAGCGAGGTGCGCCGAAGGGGAAGCCCTCTCCAGAGCGCTCCGTTTTTTGGTATACCTCAGGGCCTCGGATAGAGGCAGATCACACCAGACCGAAGCCAATGTCTTCTATAAAAGAAAAACCTCTCCCACACTGATCTCGACGAGGGACGCGACGATGAGGCCGACCCCCATGAACGCGCTGCTACAATTAAAACTGAGAGTAAGGATGCGCGATACGGATACAAAGGGCCTTGGACGTCCATGCCAAAGCTTTTTGAGCGGGGCTGGCCATCAAAAAGGGTTGAGGATGGACCGAAGATGACCGAAGAGGCAGGTACCCTTGGGAAGTCGACCATTCTTACTATGAATGTTGACTATACGACATACCGCTACTCCCCAGACCTCTTCTGGGGTGCGTTCTGATCAGGATTTCGGGGCAATCCAGCGGTGGCGACGAGGGTCTCCCAGGAGGCCCAAACATGCGAAAACGAAGAAAAGGTAGGGGTCTGGGTGCCCTTTCCTCCTCTGAGCTGCGAACTGCTCAGCGATCACTGCTGCTTGCACTGCCTCGGACAGCAGCAACTCGGTCGGCCAGGCAGCGCGAGGCCCGCCCGAGGCGCCCGAAGCGACTCGGTCCGCCTCCCCGCGCGCGCGCGCGCCGCGCGCGCCGCGCTCGGCGGAGGGGCGCATCGCGGAGCGGAGGGGGGTGCGGAGCAGGGCCCCGCCGCCGCCGGGCCACCTCGAACGCCTCCGTCACGGCCAGGCCCTTGACGCAGACGAAGCGGCGCGTGAACATGTCCTGAGGCGCAGCCGAGCGGGTGTGCGGCCCCGTGTTGTCGATGCGCAGCGGCGGCAATGATGGACGAGCCATGGGCAACAGCGCGACGCGCAGCACAATCAAGCCAGCAGCGTGAACACCGGCACGCATCCCGACTGCGCTCCGCACTCCATGTAAACCGAGCGGGTCTGCGGCCTGCCCCCTCCCTTACATCGGAGGCGGCCAAGAGGGGGTCGTCCAAGAGGGGGCGTCCAAGAGGGTGGTGTCCGAGAGGGACCGATTACATGATGGGTCCCGGAAGCCATGAATTTAGAAACGGGACGTCTCCGAACGAGGTTTGTTGTCACGTTCACGGGCTTCCCACGGCACCCCGCTGGCGCCCGGTTATGCCGGCCTTCTGCCAGCCTCCGCCGAGGAAGAGATAGATGTCAACCTTTGGGTTCCTCGAAGGCGAGGCCCTTTCGGGAACGTATCAGATGGGGGCCGTGACTACTAGGTCTATATATATATATAGAGATAAACAAAAAGAGAGAGAGAGAGAGAGAGAGAGAGAGAAAGATGGCGAGAGGGCGCAGTAGATTTGACAAGCATTGGGCGATTAGCCACAGAAGGTATAGCAGCCTTGACAGTAATGGGGCTTCCATGGAGGATAAGGCCTGAGTCTGATTCAGGCTAGTATACAGCCGTGTCCTTGCGACCGCACGCGAGCCACGATCTATGTTTGTTCCTAGTTGTTCCTCTTCTTGCTCTTCCACCTTCTCCTCCTCCTCCTCCTCCTCCTCCTCGTCCGCGCTCCTCTTCTCCGTCCTTCTCTTCCACCTCTGACTCTTCCTCATCCCTCGTGCTCACGCCCTGCTCGTCCCTCGTCCCCGCATCCTCCTTCCTCGTCCCTCCTTCCTCGTCCCTCGTCCCTCGTCACTCGTGCCTCCTTCCCGCCGCCTCTTGCTTGAAGAAAGGAAGCGGAGGAGCGTCCTTCCAGCCTTGCAGGGTGAGGCTGCCGCCCTTTGCGGAGTCCAAGTGATGGAAGATCGCCGCCCTCCTCGCCTCCGTAAAGTCGACCTCGTCTCGACCCAGTGCCTCGCCAGGAGGAGGCAACATTCCCAAACTTCCCCCACATCGTCAATGATCATCCTCAGCAGCAACATCCCTCATCCCAACGCATTATATTTCTCCTTCGTCCTCCCTCCTCAGCAGCAGCACTTGCTGGGGCCGTGTTTCATGACCGAGCCACGTCTCTCGTATAGCCTCGTGCGTGCTCTGCCTAATCGTCCACGTCCTCCTCCCGCCCTATCCTTCACTCTGTCGGTTCCTCCCTCATCCTCCGGCCCCTCCTCCCTCATCCCTGATCCTTCCCCCACCACGCCGCCTCATCCTCCATCCGCCTCCTTCCGCCGCATCTTCCCTCCTCCTCCCCCTCCTCCTTCTCCATCCATGAGGAATGCTCCCTACGAACGTCCTCGTCATTCCCCCCTCCTCCGTCGTCCCTCCTCCCTCACCTTCATCCCTCATCTCTCCGACCGCATCCCTCATCCCTCAGCCACCCTCCCTCATCCCTTGTCGTCATCCTCCTGCCTGGCGACATCTGCAGGAGCTAAGCGGACAGCGATCGCCAGCAAGCATGCTGCCAAACATGGTACATTTCCAACTTTCTACTCCTGGCTCCCTCAACCCCTCCCTGCCTCTTCCCGATGCCCTCCTCGAAGGCGCTGGCCAAGCGCTGGCCCATCAGAGTTCACCCTCATCCTTCGTATGCTCCTCCTCCTCCTCCTCCTCCTCCTCCTCCTCCTCCTCCTCCTCCTCATCATCATCATCATCATCATCATCATCATCATCATCATCATCATCATCATCATCATCATATCATCATCATCATCATCATCATCATCATCATCATCATCATCATCATCATCATTCATCCTCTTCCTGCTCCTGATCCTTCTCCTCCTCCTCCTCAGCACTTTCCGCCACGTCCGCGTCATCCCTCCTTTCACCCCGCCACCTCCCTCCCTCCACCCCCCCGAGGATGTCCCCTATTACGCAGGCCGCTGGGACTAAATCATGCCCTTTAGCATGGCCGAGCGGCGGCTCCCGTAAAGCTTCAGTATCCGCATCATCTGTCTCGACTTTCTCCTCATGCCTCCGCCTCCTTCGTCCTCCTAATCCCACTCTTCCTTTATGTAATGGGGCCACGCAGCAAGCTAAGGAGGACGGGGTGGGTTTTCTTTGGGGGGGCATGGAGGAGTGTGCTCGGCTGTACGGGGCAGAAGGCGAGAACGAGGATGAGGCAGCTGAGGAGGCAGAGGATGCTGCGGAGGAGGGGCGAGGACGTACACAGCGAGAGGATGGGAAGCGCGGGAGGGAGGGGAGCGGAGGCATGGGGGCCGGGAATGGGCGGAGGCGGCTGGGCGTGCAGAGGGAAAGGGGGGATGCAGGATGCCTCCCTGTGCCGCCCGGTGCATGCCGGGCCCAAGAAGCTGGAACCAGCAAGTTCCAGTGAGTGTGTCGCTTGTCGAGGGGAAGGCTCGAACATTCTCGCCGCGTCGGTCTCGATGTAGCGTGTACTACGGCCCACGTAGACCCCAAAACAGGCCCAAGGCTGTCCAGCAGGTCCCCAGGACGGGACTCAAGGTTGCCCCGGGAGGGGCCTCGAAGCGCGCTGACGCCGCTCCACTGGAAGCCAACGCCTCCAACATGATCCCAAGACCCCCAAAATGCCCCCAACACGCCCCACGACATTCCACAACTCACCCGCGTAGGCCATAAACGGCCCCCTGGAGCCCCCGAAGAAACCCCAAGAGCCCCAAAACGTCACCAGGGCCTTTCGAGGAGGACTCAAAACGCAGTGGCAGGATGGGCCGGAAGCCATGAGATTTCAGGCATCAGTGTAGGAAAGAGGAGGTTGGAAGGACGGGAGGGATGGGAGCGGCAGCAGGCGAAGGGGGGCGGTGGACGAGACGGGGAGAAGAGAGGGGTGGGAGGAGGGGATGCAGGATGGCTTTCCGCGCACCATGGTGGACGCAAGCTGGAGAGTATGGTTCGGCGCCCCTTGCACAGAGCGAGGGTGCGAAATAACCAAGGTCCCCTCGATCCCCGCCGTAAGCCTTGAGAGCAACAGCACGCTTAGACCATACGCTAAACATCACGGGCCTTGACCCTCAACCCACCAAACGCCATACTTCAACAGACGTGTACCATGAGCCTTCATCAGTCAATGAAGATTCCTGCAGGCTCTCCAGATATCAAAACCCTGGGGACACAAAGCCTGTACTAATTCTCTAGAATTCCTCCTGGCACGGTAAGCCGTGTCATAATGCCTGTGGGTTCCCATTGCAGATATCCTGGGGCGCATGCCTGCCCTTGGCTCATGACCCCTTCCAGCAAAACTCCACCTGGCAATCACAGATTTGCATCAGCACGTCCAGAGCAACCCAAAACGGTCGCAGGATCGCTCGTGGACTATCCCGGCAGGCTCTCCCACACCCACGGGTTGCACGGAGGGCTGGAAGTTCCGACCCGCTGAAGTTCCACAGGAAATCGCCTCTCTCCCAGATGAAGCCGCTACGTAGCTTTTACACAGTAGCTGGGCCGCCACGGAGCAGGAGACGCCAGTACTGCTTCGCATCACTCGGCATGGCCCGACAGAAGGAGGCGTCTCGCCTCCACCCCCGCCAACACATATATGCATGGGCCCACTGTTCGTCCCGTTCTCCATCCTCCTTCTCCACTACGTCCTGGACCCCGTCCCTCCACCTCCTCCTCCTCATCATCCTCCTCCTCTTCCTCCCCCTCCTCCTCCCATCATTCCCCTCCCTTCGCCTCCTGGTTTCGCCCCCCTCCAGCCCACTACTCCTCCGAATGCCTCTGGCAGCTTGCCGAGCCACGTCTTGAAGGCATCCTCGGACGTGCCTGAGGCGCGCGCGCGCGCCAGGTGCAGGCAGGAACGCGTCCCTGGGGCAGCAAGGCTCGTGTCGATGCCGCTGCTCCCCAAGCATCTCCTTGGGTGCGCTCTGACCAGCCGTGGCAACGAGGACCCCCCAGGAACCCCCCAGAAGGCGACAACGAGGGAAGGGCACCGGCATCGAGATCCGTTCCTCCGCTCAGCTCTCCGGCTCCATCGCTTCTCGCCACGGTGCTCGCCCCCCGCTCCGCGCTGGCAGCAGCAGCGACTCGGAGCTGGGTCTCGCAGCCCCGAAGCGGGCACCGTGCGGGCCCTTCCTCCGGGGCTCTCCTCCTGTGGAGCAGGGACCGACTGTCCGGGCATTCCCATAATCATACCACGACATGTTCTTAGAACCCCAAAGTGTTCTAAGAACAAGAGCAGTGTTCTTAGAACATAAACCGGGTGTGTTAAAGCAAGACCGTCCCAGCCAGAGAGGTTCTAAGAACCTTCCGTGGGAACCACAAGAGGTTCTTAGAACATTGCTTGGTGGGGCTATAGGCGAGCCGGGACGCTTCGCCACTGCTTGATCCTGGGCTGCGCGGGGAGCAGACGCGAGCTCCCGCCACAGCGCAGCAGTGCGAGCACCGTGCTGCTGTGGGGAGCGCCGGGTGGTGAACTTATGGGGGCGTGCTGCGCACGGCCAGCCTCGGCCGCGAACACGTTCCCCGACCTGGATCTGAAGAATCGGCCCGGCAAGCAGAGCCCCTCCGGAGCCCCACATTTTTCCCTGCAAATGAACTCAACAGCAGAACCAAAACACACGATGCCCGTCCAACATCAGATCCGCTGCCCCTCATGGGGGCTATCACAGCACCCACTGCATCTAGGGCTTGAACTGCGGCCGTGACTTAAAGTAGCCGGCCGGGTAGACGTCAGCCCTATCGGTGAGGAGGAGGAGGCGAAGGAGGAGAACACGGAGAAATAAGGCGATGGAGTTGCGCGTGCATCCCCCTCCTGAGCCCCAAATGGTCAAAATTTCGGAATCCTGGATGTGGTGCGAGGTACCTGCGAGGCCGATGAGGCTGTCCAAGGTTTTGCAAGAGGGAAGCTCCGATAAGGAACGAAGCCATAAAAACAGCATTAGGAACCACTCCAGAAAATAAACCGAAAATTCAGAGCCCCTTCCAAACCCTAAAGGTCGTGATCGCAATGACCCGACTGACAAATTCCGCTGGGGGAGCCCTGGGAGCAGGATGCTGGAGATGAGGACAGAGAAGGTGGCGACGGAGAAGGGGAGGAGAGCGAACGGGAAGAATGTGAGAGGACACGAAAAGGGGTCGGAGGATGAGGAAGAGTAGAACGAAGAGTGGGGCAACAGCAGCAGCAACTGCAACTGAGGCGAGGGCGTCGGCGGACGCAGCATCAGCATGAGCTGGATCAAGAGCCAGGGCTAAAGTTGGAGCCCAGGAGATAAGCCCAGAATGTTTGAGCTCACGTCTGGTAGTTGGAGCCCAGGAGATCATTAAGTCCAGAATGTTTGAGCTCATGTCTGGTAGTCTGGATGTTCGCCCCATGCGGAGTACAAGGCGAGAACATGGGGATGGGAGAAGGCAGGTGGAGAGGACCGCCTCCCCCAGGGAGTAGGGAAAGAAAGAGAGAGAGGGAGAGGTGGGAAGCAATGGTGACTACGCGTGCACACAAGAGGAAGAGTGGAAAGCAATGATGACTACGCGCAGACGCACATCATTTAAGACCGTGAGTGTCTGTATACATATATATATATATCGATGGAGCCAACCTACGGGTGATAAGGAGGTTCAGGGGTGAAAGGGAGGGCGGTCGACTTGAGATGGCTGTGGGTTCTTTGGTGGTCGCTGGATCATTCCTATTATCGCGCACATCTGCCCATGTATCTGTCGACCTATAAATCAAACGATCGATTTAGGACAACCATATGTATCTACACACACGTTTATATATGTATACATACACATTTATACATGTGTGTACGGTTGCCTGCCTGACTGTAGTCAAAACGTTAGCTATATACCCCTCTATGTATATGAGTATGTGCATACGTGTATACCAACCTATGTGTACATGTTAATATGTATATATGTGTGTACCGATATAACTAACATTCGATGTATGCAACTGTGTATCGTGCGTTTCGCGCGCGCAGCACGCGAAACGCTTTACCGCATATACGATTCGCATACGCTTCGCGAGCGCAGCGCGCGAAACGCTGTGCGATATTTACGATTCGCATGCGTTTCGCGCCCATAACAGGACAGCATCGGGACAACCATATCTTCAATTCATATATAGACATATATATCGACCTATCTCTTTTCCAATCTATATACCATTCTATCGGCCGATCAATCTATCAAGCATCAGGACAACCATCGGGACAGCCATCGGGACAACCATCGAGACAAACATCGGGACAGCCATCGGGACAACCATCAGGACAACAATCAAGACAACCATCGGGACAACCATTGGGACAAGCATCGACACAACCATCGGAACAGCCATCGGGACAACCATCGGGACAACTATCGGGACAACCATCGGGACAACCATCGGGACAACCATCGGCGCAACCATCGGGAGAACCATGGGGACAACCATCGGGACAACCATGGGGACAAGCATCGGGACAACCATCGGGACAACCATCGGGACAACCATCGGCGCAACCATCGGGACAACCAACGGGACAACCATCGGTACAACCATGGGACAACCATTGGGACAACCACAACCATCGGGACAACCGCCGGAACAACCGCCGGGACAACCGCCGGGACAACCAGGGGCCACGCCCGGCGGTCGGGGGCGGCCCTTTTGGCAATAGATTGCCCCTACCAGTGCAGGAACTCGCGCAACTTCGCCACGCCAGCACGCACGACACGAACCGAAACCGAAACCGATTTCCCGGTTGGGGCCACTTTCGTTCACACCCCCCAACCTCGGATTTAGACACACACACACACACATACAAGGCTGCATTGGCGCTTCGCGCTATGCATCTTGGCCCTTGAAGCTTGGCATGCAGGCAGAAGGGCAGGAAAGTAAAACAGACATCTTAGCGATAACGCCTTGATGCCTTTTCCGAAATCACCGCTACAATAATCGTATACATCATCCTGCCTACATGTTTCCTCTTCCCCTTCCTCCTTCTCGCCCTACCCTGCGAATTCTTCCTCCTCAGCTCTTTTTGCGGAGGCTCCTCCTTGGAGAGCCTCTTGGGGGCCTCACGATTAGTTCTAAGGCCTTCTGGGGGCCGCTGGGGCGCTTTCTGGGGGCCTCTGGGGGCTTCCTCGGGTCATCATGCTTCCAACCGCGATCTCCCTGAACGACCGAGTCACGATCTTTTATGCTCCGGAGGGTGTCTTGGCGCCATCTTGGGCCGTCATGGGGCTCTCTTCGGACCATCTTGGAACCCTGCTGTGCCGTCTCGGGTCTCTCCTGGACTGCCTGGAAGCAGCCCTTTCGGACAGTTTTGGGGCGATGCTCGGGCCTCCTGGGCGATCTGGGGGTATGGTTTTCGGGGGGGGGGGTCCCGCCCCGACCCAGTCGGCGTGTGTGAGACGATGTCGTCGTCTTCGTCGTCGTCATCGTCGGCAGCCCCAAGGAAATCTAAAAAAGAACAGAGGAAAAAAACCTCGTGAAGACATCGTCGCAGTTGAGTCAATCCCCTCTCCTTTTCCTCTCCCTGACGGCGGGGGGTCGGAGGGATGTACGGGGGGGCAACGAGGGGAGCATTTCAATCCCCAGTGGAGGCTATGGGCGCGCGGGCGGCGCGACTGCGGGCCTGCCTGGAAAAGACTTCGCCTGATGGCGCCACAGGTCGCTGGCGCCTTGGCATGGACAGTGTGACCGAGTGGTTATAAGGTGATGGACTACAAATCTATTGGGCTCTGCCCGCAGGGGGAGGAGGACAAGAGGGAGGAGGAGGAGGAGGAGGAGGAGGAGGAGGAGGAGGAGGAGGAGGAGGAGGAGGAGGGAGGAGGAGGAGGAGGAGGAGGAGGAGGAGGAAGGAGGATGGAGGAGAGGAGTGGACGGGGAGGAGGAGGAGGAGGAGGAGGAGGAGGAGGAGGAGGAGGAGGAGGAGGAGGAGGAGGAGGAGAAGAAGGAGGAGGAGGAGGAGGAGGAGGAGGAAGAGAAAGAGAAAGAGGAGTAGGAGGAGGAGGAGGAGGAGGAGGAGGAGGAGGAGGAGGAGGAGGAGGAGGGAGGAGGAGGAGGAAGGAGTCCGGGTCAGATTGCCGTCCCCCTCGGGGGCCCGCTGGCCCTCCGCCCCCTCCCCGGGGCGGCTCCTGGCAGGGGAGCTACGGACCCTTCCCACCCCCACCCCCGCCTTGAAGCCCCGGCCCCGACTGTGCAGTCCCTGGCCCCGGCCCCGGGCCCAGGCCCTGGCTCCGGCCCAGCTGCCCCGGCCCCGGTTCTGGCCCCGCCCCAGCCAGCCCCCTGTCCTCCCTCCCTTCCTCCTCCCCTCCCCCTCCTCCCTCCTCCTCCTCCTCTCCTCCTCCTCGTCATCATCATCATCATCATCATCATCATCATCATCATCATCATCATCATCATAATCATAATCATCATCATCATCATCATCATCATCGACCACCACCACCACCACCACATCATCACCATCATCACCATCATCATCATTCATCATCATCATTCACCATCACCATCACCATCACCATCACCATCATCACCATCACCATCACCATCACCATCACCATCACCATCATCATCATCATCATCATCATCATCATCATCATCATCATCATCATCAGCATCAGCATCATCATCATCATCATCATCATCATCACCATCATCACCATCATCATCATCATCATTTTCCTGCTCCTATCCTCTCATCATCCTCTTTCCTCCCCTCCTCCTTTCTCCTCCTCCCCTTCTCCTCCTCCCCCCCCTCCCCCTCCCCCTCCTCCTCCTCCTCCTCCTCCTCCTCCTCCTCCTCCTCCTCCTCCTCCTCCTCCCTCCACCGCCCTCTCCATGTCTGGACTTGTGGCAGGGTCAACAGCTTCTCGTTGTCGTTGTCATCGTGGTCGTCGTCGTCGTTGTTTTTCGTGGTCGGCGGCACTGGCCGTGAGGCCTTCACAGTATAGGAGGAATATGCATCCGCACGTTTAACGATGTTGAACATGAAGATGCAGAGAGAGGGACAGGGAGATGGAGAAACAGAGGGACATAAAGAGCAAGAGGGAGGTAGGGAGGGAGAGAAAGAGAGAGAGAGAGAGCATGTGCGCATCAACAAATACACACAGGAGGAGAAAGAGAGAGAGAGAGAGAGGAGGACAGAGCGAGAGGGACAGAGGTTGGAGGAGAGAGAGAGGGCAAGACATTGGCACAGAGAATGGCAGAGAGGACTATCAAGCGAGAAGGGGGAGAGAGAGGAGAAAGAGAGAGAGAGAGAGAGAGAACACGGACAACGGAGAGAGAGGGACAGCGACAGAGAGAGAGAGAGGCAGGGAGGAAAGGAGAAATGACGAGGTCGGAGAGGCTATGAAACCACCGGAAGATAATGGCACCTCCGATCTGCTCGAACAGGGTCTCAAGCGAGATGTCCTTCTCCGAAGCGTGCTCCTTCCCATTCCAAATGAGCCCGCGGAGGAGGAGGCGAGGAACTGGAGGACAAGGCTCAGGAAAACGACTATAATGAGGAAACGAAGCGGTAGAGGGAAAACAGGGAGAATGAATATAGTAAATAAGGAGGTGAGGGAGGGGGAGGAGGAGGAGGAGGAGGAGGAGGAGGAGGAGGAGGAGGAGGAGGAGGAGGAGGACAGGAACCAGGAGGAATAGGGTGAGGAGGGAGGGGCAGAATGGGGCGGAGGGGGAGGAGGGGGAGTGGGAACAGGAAGAGCAAGATGGAGAGGATTAAAGGTTGTCGCGGCACTCTTGGAATAGGCAGGGGCCAGACAAGGGAGGCGGGGCATGAGCAGCACGTCGCACGGCTTCTGCCAAACAAGGAATCCTGCTGTCTCAACTGTCTCCTGTCACCTCCTCCGCCCCTCTGTCTGACAAGTGACTCCTCCTCGTCTCGGGACCATCGGGCGGGTAAGGCCATTCGCCCACGGCCCTGCACGAGCTGCCCTCCTCGGCTGGGTCGTGAGACTACGATCTTACCCGAGACGTCCTCCCCGCGTGTGACCCCCAGCGCCGAAAGCCCCAGCATCTACGCGAATGGAGGATTGCGTACATCTGAGACGTGTGGGCAGCAGCCGATACAAGGCGCAGAAAGTTCCAACTCTTGCGGGGATGCATGCCAATGTGGTTGCCAACGTACGGTCTGGTGCACGCAATTGACTCGATTGCTTCGCTCTCGTGGGGGACTCCCTCCCAGTGTACGCGCATGGCGCTCAACATGTTGACAAGAGGCTCACAGCTTCACGGGAATGGAAGAACACCTCGGTCTTCGAGTCGCAGGGAGCCGTGGACCGGTAGTAGGAGACGAACCCTCCCAGACATCGACAACGGAGCGATCTGGCAAGGATTTCGAAGGGAACCCATCAGTGGTGACGAGAATGCTCTCATAGGCCCATCGGTCCTGAAAGGACGAAGCGCGTTCAAAAACCTCGATCACCAACCCTCCATTGTCGCAGCCCTCCTCCGTCTGTTTTCATGAAGGCAACGAGCCCGAACAATATCAAACTTACCCCGGGAATGTGCATCGACCCAGGAGCGGGAGAAGCAAAGAGAGAGAAAGCAATCTAAACGCTCGCCGCTCGGGCACCGCAGGCAAACCGCAAGACAAAAGAGTGACAAGCGGTCCTGCGAACATGGCCGAAACTCTCCTGACCAGAGTTCGCCAGCGAGTTCGCAGCCCGCTCCCGTTTCCTCCTCCTTCCCCTCTCCGTCCATCTCTCCCTAGACATTCGACGATGTGTGTGTGTGTTCTTTTCGCATCCCCGGGCGCCAAAAAGTGTCGACGTCTTCCCTGGGGGGTAGTGTTCCACTCCTGCACAATGTCTGCAGCCCCGGGGCCCGCAAACGGCCACTGGAGGCTGAAATGAAATATGCTAACGGAGTTCCCCACATAAGGATGTTGGGGGCTTCGTGGGATCAATGAGGCACACACCAATATGAATGGAAGGGCAATCGCAAAAGTACGTGCAAAAGAAAAGCAGACGAAGGCAAGGAAGGTGGAGCAGCAGGGGGGAAGACGACGGCTGTTCAGGAAGCACGTTCGCCCCTGGAGTGTGAGGGGCACGAAACCTGATACATAACATGGTTTTCGAATACTCTCCTCGCTCCGGCGGGGCCTGCCTGGAGAAGTGGGAGGGGCACGAAACCTGACGAGTGGTACGCGTGCCATGGCTCTTGCACAAAACGGAGGGGGAAGGAGGAAGCGGAGGAGGAGGAGGAGGAGGAGGAGGAGGAGGAGGAGGAGGAGGAGGAGGAGGAGGAAGAGGAGTAGGAGGAGGAAGAGGATGAGGAGGAAAAAGAAGAGGAGAATGAGGAGGAGGAGGAAAGGGGGGGAGAGAGGGGACGAGAAATCGGAGAAGTCTCGGGGGGGCGGGACGGCGGGGGCGGTGCGACGCAGAAAAAAATGGTCGGAGCGGAGAGGGGGCGGGGTGCACTGGGCGGGCGGGGAGGGGAGAACGATCGTGGGGGCGGGACGGTGGGGGCCGTGCGACGCGGAAGAAAACGTTCGTGGCGGAGGGGGCTGTGGGCGGGGCTCCTACTGGAGCGCTGGGGACGCGGGGGGGCTCGGGGTGACTGGGCTGGGCTCCTACCGGGGCGCTGGGGACGCGGGGGGGGGGGTGGGGGAGGTGGTGTGCGTCGCGACGCGGGCGCTGGGGACGGGGGGGGTGGTGTGCGTCACGACGCGGAATAAAATTGTCGGGGCGGAGGGGGCACGGGGCGGAGCCCCCACTGGGGCGCTGGGGACGCGGGGAGGGAGGTGGGGGAGGTGGTGTGCGTCGCGACGCGGAATAAAGCGTCCGTGGCGGCGAGGCACGTGGGCGGGGCTCCCGCTGGGGCGCTGGGGACGCGGGGGGGCTCGGGGCAGAGAGCCACGGCGCGGGAGTCCCACTCTGGCGCTGGGGACCCGGGGGCGGGGTGTGCGACGCGGAACCAAGTGGTTGGAGCTCTAGACACCCTGTGCAAGAGAATCAATAACATTGTGTTCGAATATCCTCCTCGCTCAGGCGGGCTCCCTGGAGGAGTGGGAGGGGCACGACACCTGACAAATTAAATGGTTTTCGAATGCCCTCCTCGCTCAGGCGGGGCCTTCCTGGAGGGGTGGCAGGGGCACGTAACCTGATAAATTGTATGGTGTCTTGGCACTGTCCTCGCTCTGGCGTGGCCTCCCTGGAGTGGGAAGTATGATATGGTAGCTTTGGTATGGTAGGTGTGGTATGGTATGGTAGGTATGGCATGGTATGTTAGGTATGGTATGGTAGGCATGGTATAATATGGGATGATTCCACAAACAGACCTTGCCTCTGTAGGTGTCCTAGCGGATTCACACGATTAGGTGAGGTCTGTCACCGATTTCCGCAGACCGCCCGGGTGCCCGGGTGCCCTGGTGCTCGGGTGCCCAGGTGCCCGGGTGCCCAGGTGCCATATGGCCTGATAGCCCCACTGCCCTATATGCCTCTAGAACTATAGCCTTGTGGCCCTATAGCCCCAAAGCCCAATCGTCCTGTAGCCATCTAGCCCCATAGCCTTATAGCCATATAGCCTTATAGCCTTAAAGCCTGCTAGCCCTATAGCCTTACAGCCCCATCGCCCCATAGCTCTATAGACCTATAGCCTTATAGTCATATAGCCCTAAGTCCTATAGCCTTATAGCCATACAGCCTTATAGCCCTATAGCCCCATAGCCCTGTAACCCTATAGCCCTATAGCCCAATAGCCCTTTCGCCCTATAGCCCTATATCCCAATAGCCCTATATCAGTATAGCCATATAGCATTATATAGCCCTCTAGGGCAATAGCCATATAGCCCAATAACCCTATAGCGCTGTATGCACATAGCCCTATTGCCCTATAGCCCCGTAGGCCTATGGCTGTATAGCCAGATGGTCCTATATCCCTGTAGCCCCACAGCCCTATAGACTCATAGCCCTATAGCACCACAGCCCTATAGCCCCATGGCCCTAAGGCCCTGTAGGCCTATAGACCTAGAACCCTATGGCCCTATAGCCCTGTAGTTCCACAGCCCTATAGCCTCATAGCCCCGTCGCCCTATAGCCCAATAGCCCCATAACCTTATAGCCCCAAAAAGACATTGACTGGCATTTTTCATTTGTATTATTTGGTAAGTATGGTATGGCATGGTATGGTAGGTTTGGTGCGGTAGGCATGGTAGATATGGTATGGTATGCATGGTAGGTATGGTATGGTAGGTGTGGTATGGTACGTATTGGTATGGTATAGTAGGGAGGCGGGAGAAAGAGAAGGAGGAGAAGGAGAAGGAGAGGGCGTGGGTGTTCTAGGATAACAAGAACCCCACTCAGGATGTGGGGAAGAAAACTTTCAATCCGCCCGAAATCTGGGTCATCCTCATGCTCCTGCTCCTGTGCCTGCTCCTCCTCTTCCTCCTCCCCCCAAACCAAATGGGGGCCGGGCGCGCTCCCGAAGGACGCCCGCCAGGGTGTCGGCGCTGGCAGCCACCAGGAACTCCTTGAGGGAGGGGCGCCGCCGTGCGCCGACGGTGCGGCTCTGCCTAAAACGGTGGAGGCACAGATGGCGAGGTCAAGGAGGAGGGCACAGGAAGGGGGGGGGGGGGGGGGGCAGAGGCCCTCCCGGTCCTCCTGAATACTGATTGCCATCCTCCTTCTCATCTTCCTCCCCGAGCCTCCCAAATCCTTACACATTCCTCCCGCTCCTCCTCAGAACTCCTCCTCCTCCCCATCCTCAAAAAGTTTGCGAACCATACCACTGAAGCGTAATATGCTTTGACCTCCTCTTCCTCCTCCTTTTCCCCCCTCTCCTCCTCCTCCTCCTTCTCCACCTCCCCCTCCTCCTCCGCTTCCTCCGCCTCCTCCTCATTCCTTCTCCTCCTCCTCGTCCTCTTCCTCCTCGTCGCCCTCCTCCTCCTCCTCCTCCTCCTCCTCCTCCTCGTCGCCCTCCTCCTCCTCCTCCTCCTCCTTCTCCTCCCCGTCTCTTCTCCTTCGTCTCGGAGGGAGACAGGCCACGAGTTGGGGGAGGAGGGCGTCTCCGAAGCGCCCGAATCGGCCGAAGAAGATTGACCGCAGGACGGGTGGCAGAGGAGACGGCCGAGGAGACACCTGGTGCCGAGTGAGGGCACGGGCTGTGCTCGAAGCAAGGTCCAGACCGCCTAGGTCGGCGGCTGCAGCGGTCTCGCAGTTTGCGGCAAATGTGAAATACGAGCGCTACGCGCATCACGGTGCGCAGCGCTGCGAAGTCGCTGGCAGGATCACTCGGGCACGCCAAAAGCACAGTCGGCGGCGCGCCCGGGGGGAAGTGAGAGGTGGCGGGTTCTCGGAAGGCTCGGACGCCCCACGGCCTTCTGACAAGTTTTCTGAGCCTTCCCCGAGGACATAGGCAACCTCTCAGAGGGCGCGAAGGCTTCTGAGAAGTCTCGCAGGTTTCTGGGAGGGCCTTCTCCTCCTTCTCACTTGCGCCCCCCTCGCTCGCCGCTGGCAGTGCCAAAGGCGGACACGGCCAGAGGACGGAGCAGGCAAAACGCAGTGAGGGAAAGCAGCTCGGGAGCCTGCGGCCCACCGCCGAAGGCATGTCCTCGGGGCCCGCACGTGCCTGCGGTGGGTGGTGGTCCACGCTCCGCTGAGAGTCTCGAGTCTGGACCGTGGCCCAGCGGCAGCGTGGGCGCACCGTCTTCGCAGGCTCGACAAAACTGTCTAGGGTTTTGGGTTTAGGGTTTAGGGTTTAGGATCCACTAGCCCAAACTTGCAGCCCACTTGACCGTGTCCCACCCACCCATGACCCAAGACATATTGATCTCGATGCGGTATCAACACGCGACTCGCAAAACGACGACGAGGACGACACCGATGACAACGACGTTGATATTGTTTTCAAAACGACGACGACGCGGCCGCGCAAAGACGGCGGGGCGGCCCCTGGGGAAGGGCACGGGGGCGGCTCTCAACCCGAAAGGGTCGAGGTCGCGCCCGTACCTTTCGCGAATGACAGTACTGACGCCATGCCTGGCATACCGAGGCCATGAACGTCTGCCACGAGTCTGGGCGAGGGGAGCACCCTGCACTTTCGCAGGCTCTCCCAGAACGCCACGCCCGGTACTCCGGGAGTTTGCAGATCCTCCCAGAACGCCATTCCTGGCGCTCCGAGGGCAAGGATCTGCGTGAGGGGTGCGTCCTGGGATAGATCGGGCCAGAACGCAATTCCTGGCGCTCCGAGGCCAAGGATCTGCGTGAGGGGCGCACCCTGGGATTTGCAGATCCTCCCATAACGCCATTCCTGGCGCTCCGAGGGCAAGGATCTGCGTGAGGGGTGCGCCGAAATTGGGGGGGCGGCCGAAGGGGGGACTTTAGGGCGGCGGAAGGCATTTCAGGATTTAAATCTTTATAGGCTCTTAGTTTCTACTAGGCGTGGCCACGAGTACAACGTGACCGCGAACGCACCTGCGGTGGCCGTCAGTCCCACCCGCACGCCACCCCACCATAAAGATCATCTCCCCCCTCGTTATACCCGCATCGAAGACAGCGTCGACGACGACGACGACGACGGCGACGACGGATGTGCGATCCAGTTGGCACGCGAGTGCTGTAACGGGCGGGAAGAGTCGGGTCGGGCGAAGAGGTTCTGCACGCATGCGCAGGAAACGCGAGTCGGTGGAATCGGTGGATCGGGTCGCAACGGAAGGCACTTTGTATCGTAAAATACATGAGATTCTGCACGCGTGCGCAGGAAGTGCTATTTTTTGCAGTAGATGGAGCGGGTTTACATAAGAGGGGCGCGCTGTGCGCTGTAAAAAACAAAAAATTCTGCACGCATGCGCAGGAAGTGCTATTTTTTGCAATCGATGGAAAGGGCTCGCGACGGGGGCTGGGCACTTTGTGCTGTAAAAAATATGAGATTCTGCACGCATGCTCAGAAAATGCGACTTTTGGCAGTAGATGGGGCCGGGTCTCGACGGGGACTGGGCACTTTGTGTTGTAAAAAAAAAGATTCTGCACGCATGTTCAGAAAATGCTACGATTTGCAGTGGATGGAGCGGGGTTGCATAACGACCGCTTTTGCACGGTTCAGGATTTAATAATTATAGGATTAGAAATTGAGGGCACTGGAGTCAGGCAGTCGGGGCCTGACGCCGACCCAAGCTTCCAGACGCTGGCGGGGCGTGACTGCGAAAGAAGAGGTGGCAGAAGCCTGAGCGGAGCGAAGCAGCGATGACCCGCTGCACGTTCGGGCGGCGAGGGGGCGCAGCGGAGGGGGCGCCCTATTGCCCCCTGCGAGCAGCGGCGTGCAAATGGCGCGAGCGGTTGGATGCACAGAGGTCTGAAAGGGTGGCCGCGCAACAGGGGGCAGGAACGAATGGCACGATCCGCGGACCACGCGCCAACGTGGAGCAGCGTGCACTACTCCCACGCCGCGTCCTCCTCCTCCTCCTCCTCCTCCTCCTCCTCCTCCTCCTCCTCCTCACGGGCGCGAGCATGGAAGGTCTGTCAGGGGCCGACTAGAATGTGAAAACCTGCACGCGTGGCGGCAGCGGTAGTATTCACTTGGGCAGACTGAACGAAAAGCGGCGGGCTCCACCAGGCGATGTCCATGACGCCTGCTTGGCGGAAAGAGCTGGGTGGCATGCGCATCGCAGTATGGAAGGTGCGAGGCTCGCCATGGACAGCCCGCTCCTAAAGCGGATAGGCCCTGGCTGACATAGCTGAGGGTGGAGGGAGCGGGGGTCTTGCAGATGGCACGCTAAAGCGTGCTAGGGTGCCAGGCTGCTGCTCTGTAGGGCTCCTGCGCTATAATACAGGGCCCCCATCGCACACCCCCACGAAATCAGAATGCTGCGTGCCCGCCCCCCCTCCCGATGCCGCGAACCCTCGAACAAGCAGTGGGCCCGCTTTTCCCGAGGCCCCGGCCAACGATCCCTCGGCTGCAAACGGCAGACCATCGATCTGCGCAGCGAGCCCCCTCAGACGCTCCGCGCAGGCAGCCAAGGACACCGAAATGGCCCAGGAAGCCTCGAAGCAGGCCCCCAAATGGCCCCAAAGTGGCCGAAGATGGCCGCAAGGGGGCCCAAGGTGTACCAAAGAGGGTCCAAAAGTGAAGGAGCCCTGGGACACACAAATAAATACATACAATAACAGGATTCCCTATATTTTCACATATTTTCCTGGGAATCGACGATTAACTGTGTCTGTGTGTGTTTTTCCCCCTCCTGAGAAAGGGCAACACAGAAGACTTCCAGCAGGGTCACAAGAGTCCAAAACCATTGTTCTCTCAGTGTCGCCACTTCGGGTTGCCGCCAGCTCAAGCCTTGCAAACAGGAGGTGACATGAATTGAAGGCAAGCCTGCGAGCGATGCGCCCGCGTCCGCCGCCGCTTGGCTCAAGCGGCCGGCCTCTCACATGTCACATGTGTAACAAATGACTATCCCAATTACGGACTACTATCGCACCTGACACGCAAAACATCATTTGACGGTGCATCCCCCGATCCCATTCCTTATCTCTCCGCTACCTGCTATGGATACGCTATAGGATCCTACCTTACGCCTTAGGCGTATGCCTAGTTCGACTTGGTAGCGGAGCTGGCCTCATATTCCGTGGCTGGTTCTGACTTTAATCCCCGCGTACCACGGAACAGAATAGTCGACTACTTCTACGGTGGTGCATCAAACTGCGCCCGCTTCCTTTCAGGGATCAGAACCAGGAAACAGGCCAACACGTGACATCACAACGACAGACGGCCACGTTGGCCCACACGTTCATGCCACCGCTCTCAGCCACTAAGCTCCTACCCACTATCAACCAATTTGTACTTCACTATCCTACTCCATCTCCTCGAGTGGCAACCTACCACTGCGCGGCCAGGCGCAACACATCAACGTAAAACCTACAACCATCCGCAAGCTGACGGCCACGTCAGCCCACAAACACGAAAAGCCGATGGCCATGTCAGCCCACAAACACGGCGACCACGACACCACCAACACTAGCATGACCATGCACTACATCAAGGCTTCTATGTTGATCTCATGTGGGTGCGTCTTGGCCTAACAATAGGGTGCATGCTTCGAGAAGTGGATGACACACGTACCAGGGGCCCTCACTGGGAACCTGCTGACAACGTATCTGTCCGCGACTTCGATCGCGAGGTACACGCATGGCTCAGCGTGGCAAGTGGAGCGAGAAGTCCACCACAACAAGATGCTGCTTTCCAGCGAGGCCTCGGAGGCCTAGCCAGGAATCTGGCTACGAGAGTAGCGTTCTCAAGGTCAACGCACAGACAGTGTTCCATACATCATGTTTCTTCCCAGCACCGAATATGAAAATCTCGAGGGCGAGCTACAACTTACATCGAGAACAGCCCTCGTCGACTTCAGGGCCGACCGAGGTGAACGTTTCAAAATGGCCAGACTGAAAGCGGATTCGGCCGGATTCAGCATCCCGAACTTCCGCATGTTCACGCTCTTGCTGTTTCGAGCTTTGCGAGCAGGCACTTCCACCCCTCAAACATCACTGCTACTACAACCCCTCAACCACCAGACGCCCCGAGCCCAGCAGCAATGCGACAAACTGCTGGCGCGGATGCGCAGCTGCGGACTCTTCGCCGAGCGAGCTCCTGAAACTGTTGGCGGGGTCTTCAGTGGTCGAGCCGCCGGCACGTTACGCGCGGACGTGAGCAACGCACAAGCGGCCACGCCCGGCAAGATCTGGGCGACCACGAGCAACGCGAATCCACAACGCTGGCACGCCAGGAAACTGGCTACGCACCAGCAGCTGGCCCCGACAACAACTGCTGGAGCTAAGGGCCAATTGCTGCTGCAGCCAGTGGCTCACCACCAACTGCGGCTACCCTTTGGGGTTCGTCAGGCCCACACCGCGCCTCGCCCTTCGATTCAGGAACCGAGACGGACACCTGCTCATCCGCAGGTACTGCTAAAACCCACTGGTCAGATTTACCCGCAGGCGGCGATCAGGCAGCACAAAACGATTACCTCGGCTATCATCCAGTTAAACGCCGCAGGAGGCGACAATTGGAAAAAGCCGCTTCGGAGATTCAGACGGGCAGTGCGACGGGCATTCCGTTTAAGGTTAAGGCACGCGGCAAAGGAGGCAAATGTTCTTGCAGGTTGCATGGACGGGGAACGGCCACATTCCTGACCGTACTGACCACGACTTGAGAAATTACTTCTCACGTCCCGGTGGAAAAGACAAAGGCAAGGGTGGTAGGCACACCACTGGGAGAGGCAAGGGGGCGTAAGCCAAACTCCATGGATACAGAGAGCCCAATCGTGACATGCAATACTGGCGGTAGTGACCGACACTTCCAGTCAACATGATGTCTGCTAAAAAACAGGATTGCCGCTGACATCGGCCCAAGATGCATCGCGGAAAAGATGGAAGCTGTTCCCGCGCCTTGTCGAGCAGCATCCATGGACCAAGTTTTCGTTGCTTGCGCTGCAACGCGCGCCACAGTGCACGCGGGGGGAAGCGGAAGAGCGGCGGCTCCGTGCTCCTTGGCTCACGGGGCCCCCGCCGGCAGGCCTCGAGAGCCTCGCCACGGAGGGCCTCCGCCCGCCCGTGCGCCCTCGGGCGACACTCCCGTCGCCACCAGAGGCCACGAGCCGGCCGTCCAGCTCGAGCCGGGCGGGCGACGCCCCCAGGCCATGAGCCAGGCGGCCATGGCTGACAGGCCTCGGGCAGGCACCAGCATGGCTGGGAAGGATGACGAGAAGGAGGGAGGAGGGAGGAGGAGGAGGAGGGAAGAGGAGGAAGAGGAGGAGGAAGAGGAGGAGGCGGAGGTGGTGGAGGAGGAGGGAGGAGGAGGAGGAGGAAGGAGGAGGAGGAGGAGAGGAGAGGAGGAGGAGGAGGAGGGAGGAGGAGAGGAAGAGGAGGGAGGAGGAGGAGGAAGGAGGAGGAGGAGGAGGAGGAGGAGGAGGAAGAGCAACAAGGCAAGGACGACAACGGGGGAAACCGAGGCGGGAGGAAGAGGGGGGACGACGACGAGGGGGACAGAGAGGGAGGAGGACGAGGAGAAGAAGGAGGACGATGACGAGGACGAGGAGGAAGGAGGACGCCGCCGAACGCTCCTCGCCGCCCCGCTCGAGCAGCGGGGCGCAGAGCTCCGTGGCGGACTTGAGGGCCTCCTCGCGAGGGGGCGCTTCGGAGGTGCGCCCGATCAAACGAAGCCAAGACCACGGCAAAATCGGGTCGGGGAAAACAGGAGATCTCTGAAGTCCGGCGGTTCTGGAGGATGTACTGGGCGCGGCGGCCCTTCCAAAGCGTTCCAGAGCGCTATGAGAGCGAGCGTTCTGGAACGCTCTGGGGCGATCTCCCCCGGCCACGGGCCCGGCACAGCCTGACCGCCCTCTGGGTGCCCGAAGGCTCTTCGCGCGCGGCATCAACATATGCACGCGGGGATGAACTCGCGACGGCGGCACTGCACGCAGAGTCGAGAGCGGGATCACGAGGGTTTTGGGCCCATTCAGGGCCCCAGGCCTGTCTGAGATCGCCGCACTCACCCGAAGCGGCGACCACGGCATCCCCGATGTGGTGGACATCGTCCGAAATGTTGGGCCGCCTTCGGACTCATATCCACGGCCCGGCGGTCCATGGGGTCGCGTATCCATGGGATCGCGCCACGGTGCCCAGACCGTAAGGGCTTGGAGACGGAAGTGCGCGTCTGAGCGCGATGCTTCAATATGTCCTCCCCTCGCTCGTCCGCCTTGTCTGTCGGATCTCCGCCTCTTCCCACTCACCCCTCCTGGGACACCCCCGAACGAATCCCCAAAACACATTGACATGCAGAAGTCCACTCAAAATCGGCCCCCTGGCGCGCCACAGGCGGTGCCGCCACCGCGTCAGCAAAGGAAGCCCAGGGGCGGGCGGCCCACCCTCGGGGCCTGGCGAAACACGGATATGCTGGGCGAGGCGGGCCCCTCAGGCCGCGCGACGCCGACGTCCGACAGACATGGATCGGAAAAGGAGGGGGAAGGGGCCCTGGGACACACAAGTAAATACGCACAAGTAAAAGGATGCCCCATATTTTCCAATATTTTTATGGTTTTTGTCCTCCACCCCCCGCTTTCCATATTTTCCCATATGTCCTGGGGAACCGACGATTAAAATTGTGTCTGTGTGCATTCTTTCCCTCCTGAAGAGGGGGAGGGAGGAGAGGAGGAGGGATCGGAGGGGCGGGTGCCTCCGACCCCGCGCGGACGGCCACCGAGCGGCCCTGCTCGGCCGAACGCTGCGGCGCATCGGGCCGCCCGCTGGCAGGCACCGTGCGGCGTGGCCCCGGCCCTCAATGGGGGAAGAGGGAGAGGAGGAGGAGGAGGAGGAGGAGGAAGAGGAGGAGGAGGAGGAGGAGGAGGAGGAGGTGGCAAAAAAAGCCAAAGGCGCTTCGGGGATGAGTCAGAACAGCTACAGCGGCGGCGGCAGCATGCTGGTATCCCTGCGTGGAGGTATGGATGCAGGGCCTATGCGATCGTCGCCTAGGCCTGCCTGAGGCGCACACCCCAGGAGAAACTCGTGGGGGCGGGCCTCGCGCAGGGAGCTGGATGCTTCCCTGAATCGTCAGCTTGGGGGCTAGGGCAGCGCTCATCACGAGGGCCGTGCCCTGAGCCCCAGGGCAAGGGGTGACGCGCTCGGTGATACAGGGGGGGGGGGAAACCACACTCAGACACACACTACACTCTCACAACAAACACACACACACACACACACACACACACACACACTCACAGAGGGAAAGAGGCGAGGAGGAAGAGGGCGGCTCCCGCCGCGCCCGAAGGGGGGCAACGGGGGGGGGGGCGCGCCTGCGGGTCGCCCACGTCGACGTGGCGGCAGGGCGGCGGGGGGCCGCGCCGCGCGCCACTCGCTCGGGGCTCTCTCTCCCCCCTCCTCCTCCCCCCCCCTCCACCTCAGACAGGGCCGAACATGAAAAGAAACTCTACCTCCTACTCATTTCGGGGGCTGGGTGGGGTGGTAGCTGGAGTAGGTGCTGGTTCCGTCCGTTCCGTCTCTGTTTCCTGTGGGTATGTTCACAAAGGTCCAAGAACGTTGTTGGTAGATCTGTCCGTCGTGTATCTGTTGAATGGTCCGTCGATTTGTTTGTCTCTGGTCCTCTGGTCCTCCATAGAACTCCCGTCGGCAGCGCAGACTCCACTCCGAGCGAAAAAAAAGGCACCTCGCATCAGGTACCTTGAGAGAAACGGGCGAGGGCTACCTCAACCTCCAGTCCCAAGCTTAGACCTCTCCATCACCGTCCGATCCGATCGCAATCTCCTCTGCCTGCAACTTGCTCCCACTGCCGTTGCCCTTCTGGTAGTCCACCCAGGGCTGCTTCTCTCGCCATCCGTAGAACACCCACGTGCTCGGGTCGTCCTTGTTCCAGGCTGGTATGCCCTCGGCGGGCGGCGTCCAGCCATAGAAGACCCACGTGCTCGGGTCCCCAGCGTCCCACGGAGGTATCACTCCCCCGTTGGCGTTCTTCGCCAGCTCCATGGCGCGATGCGTGCGGATCGTCATGACCTGGTCCCCCAGGTGGTTGACCTCGTCCACCTGCTTCTTCATGTACTCCTTGCTCGATGGGAACTTCGGTGGTGCCTCACTGCGAAACTGGAGGCTGCCGTGCGCCTGGAGCGTGGCTGTCAGCGCCTCCTCGATGCCCTTCAGCTGGTCCGCGAGCGTCTGCGTGTTCTCGCCGATCAGCATGGCCTCCAGGGTGGTCTGCGTGTTGAGCATCTGCGACTTGAGCAAGATGCTGTTGAGCTTCCTCTTCTGCCCCGTCGGGTAGTCGATCTGCGTCTCGTACTTCTTTTTCACGTCCTGCACCATTTGCCGGCACTCTTCGAGATTCTTCTCTTGAAGTTCCAGCGCGTAGTTGAAGCCGCCGATCTCAGGAGCCCCGGCGTCTCCGCGGTACACAGGCACCTCGGGCACCTTCGGAAGTGGCTCTGGCATCGCTCGCTCTGCCTCCGCTGGTTGGTGGGTCAGCCCGCCGTGGGCCGTCGGTCTGCACACGTGCTAAGCCAGATGTGCTACAGAGGACCCCCTCCAGTTGTACATGCCCCCAGTGTCGTTCCGTCTGTGCTGGAGTCGGACAGCGTAGTCGGAGGAGGGGCCCAGGGGCTCTGGAGTCCTGGTAAAGGTCCTGCAGGGCCCCTTAGAGAGCTAACAACAACAGGCACAACAATTTACGCCGCACCGATGCGACCGACGTTGGTAGCTGCACAAGCGCACTGTCCCGATGTGTACAATCTCTAGTGCTGCATTCACTCCGACCTGTTCTGCGCCTCCACCAGTCCAATGGTCCTTCGTTATCCGTGTCCTCCTCCCCCCACTCCTTGCCCCTGATGCAGCAACCCTCCTCCCAGCAATGCGCCTCCCCATCCCCAGCCTGTCGTCGCATTTCCTCTGTAGGTAGGTACCGTCTCCTCTGATGTCTTGAAACCGTCACAAACACAAACGCATGCAAGAACTGGGAACCCATCCTGTAGGTTTCACCCCTCTGGTGAAACAGTAGTGGCCCGCCGTGCCGCTAGTTTCCTCGTCCTTCACCTCCTCGACCGCTACCCCATTCTCCTCGACCTCCCTGGCCTTCGGCTTCGTACTTCAAGGATTATTGTCGTTCTCGTCTGAATTGCAATGCTTGCTGGTAAAGCTTCTTGGGCTGGCTTTTGTCGCTTGTTTCTGCTAACGTTTTCAGCTTGTTCATCCTGGAGGGGTCCTGGCTGATCTCGTTGGCTAGTTGTTCGTCCCTTGTTAGCTGAGGAGTCTCCAATAGGGGCTCGGCGGCTGGTAGAGTCTGTACAAGCTGCGCAGGGGTGCACGGCAACGTATCTGATCCCTTAGCAGAGGACGAGACTGGCGCAGGCGTGGCCTCGGGCTGGCTGGAACTGTTACTGCTTACTACTGCCTGCTCTGGAGCTGCTTCTCCACCGTGCGCTCCAAGTCCGTCTTCGGTCCCGCTGACTGGCCGCGCTCCCCCCCCCCCCCCCCCCACCCTCATTTTTAGGATGTAGCCCATTGCCTGGCGCGTGTAGTTCGGGCTGCACTCGTTGATGTCGTCCTTGTCCTCGTCCTCCGCCAGCATCGCCTCGCCCCCGTCGTCCGACCTGTACTTGATGGAGTCCTCTCCCATCGCCAAGTGAATGCACGGCATCGGGTTGATGCAATACTGCAGCTTCACCTTGCTGTTCCCGTCGCCCTCCTGGCCTTTCGGTTTGTACGCCTCCGTCAGTTTGAACATCTTGATAATCCCCAGGATGGACTCTTTTCGTTTTCTCGTGAAATGCCAAGCGTAGCCACTGGTTCAGGATCTGCATGCTCCACTGAATCTCCCGCTGGTAGCCTTCCTTCTCAAGGCAGGACTGGGCGTTGTTGCGCACCTCCTGGATCGTAGCAACTGCGACGTGGACGAGGGGCGGCCCGAGATTGCGATGCTTCCCCTTGGACCGCACCTCTGTGGCGCACTCTCGCCCCGCACCGAGGCCTACCTTGGACGGCGAGCAGGAGCCAGGGATCAGCCAGAAGTCCGTCGCCAGGTGAGCTTGCTCCCGTGCCTGTTGTGCCGTCCGCAGTGACAGGCGCTGCAGCGACGTGATCGCCTGGGCGAACGAGTGACTGTCGTCGTGGCTTGCATGTGGGCCGCCTCCTCGGCGCGGTGGCTGGCCCCCTGGGGGCCCTCTGTGGTCGTTGGCCGTGCTGCTCGCTGGACCTGCCCCCTTGCCCCGTTGGCCCTTGCTGTCCTTGGCCGCGCGTGGGCTGGCGTCGTGCGGGCGCAAGTCGGCGGCCCTCTTCAGGCCCCAGGGCGGGTGCGCCAGCGTAGTTCCGTCTGCCATGGCCATGCGCCCGCTGCTGCTTGGGCTCCCGCACCGATGATGGTCCAGGGTGGTGCGATCGAGCGTGCCCGTGAAACTCGTCTAGTGTTTGAGCCTCAAAGTGACAGATGCGGCAAATGAGGGACTGTGGCAGCTGAATGGGGTGGCTCCATTTGCTCCGATCACGGTGGCGAATCCCATGGCCGTCGGCTGACCTGGTCGCACGGTCGATTGCTGTCCTCTTGTCTGCGAAGGTCGACAGGCACCACGGGCATTGATTTGTTGCCACCAAGCTGGCGATAACTGGCCGAATGTTGTGGTACTCTCTGCGGTGTCCTTGTAATGCCTGGGGTGTGGTAAAGCGCTTTCCGCAGACCTGAGCAGTCCCCTCAGCATTCTGTACCATACAGTCGCACCAGTACGGCTTTGTAACATCGTTCTCCTCCTCATCCTCGCCCTCCGTCTCTCCCTCTTTGCCTCTAACTGCTTCCAAGTCTGCTACTCCTATACTTCTCAATACAGCGGGGTCCGTGGCCGTCCAATACTTCCAAGCCGTAGTCCCTGGGCAGAATACTTCGAAATCGGAAACCCTCTCTTCGTACCAGCTTTTTATGTCCAAATCGGCGTTGGCCAATGCATCCAAATCCTCCTTTACCTGCTTGGCCCACAGGGGGTAGAGAATTGCCAAACCCATTTGTTGTCCTGAAGTCGGCGCACTCCCCTTCTAGTATCTAGTAAAGAGTCCCCGAAAACCGCTGCGAGCACGCCTGCGTGCTCCGTGGGGTACAGG